GGTGGCGTGAGGCTTGGATCCAGCCCGCGCCACACTCTCTGAAACGGGTTGCTATGGAAAGACAACAAGGCTTCTGGAGGCAGGGGAGGGGGGGAAATCTCGCTCTGTAATTTAGAGGGAATCCAGAAAGGAATATTCCTCCAATTCTCGTTTCATGAGGAAATATTTGGATCGGGGCCCTGTCTGGCCACAAAAGCCTGGCTCGAGTTTGTCTCTGCGGCCTGATGAGGCTCCCCTAGGCAAGAGGAGAAGCGGAGGGAAGGCCCACCTGGACGCAACTAGGCCCCGTTGTTATGGCGGCAGGGGAAACAAAGCGTAAACACAGCTTGGCCTGTCGCGGCCCCGGCTGAGGGATTGGCTGCCGCTCAGGGGACAACCGTCTTGGCCAACTTTCTGGGGAGGGGAGGCTTCTCGCAGGTCCTGCCCCAGCCACCAACAGCTGCGTTTCCCTATTTTACAAGGGGCTGAAACACATTTTTGTGTGTGTCAAGGGCGAAATCAATGGGCACGACTAACTTTATTCATTTCCATGGGTCTGCTCTGAGTAGGCTGGCCATCGCACACGGAAAACACCGAAACCGGAGTTCACATTAAATTGAATTAATCAGCGGCAGAACCGAAAGTTTGAAAGGCAAAAGCTGCCCCAAGTAGCTGGGGCAACCCAGCTGGATGGGCAGGGTACAAATAAAGATATGATTATGATTTGGACAGAAGGCAAACAGAGAGGAAGATAGCCTAATTTCTTGGGGCAGGGAGTTCCACAGGTGGCTTGTGCTTTTTGCCGACCCACAAACCACTGGGAAGTCTCAGTAACAGAGCATCTCCAGACCCCTGAGTCTCATGGGATGGGTACTGGAGAACCCTCTGTTCCTATTTCAACCAACCCTTTATTTGGGACCATGAGGACTGGAATATTGATTTATTTTTAGCGGAAGGGCTTGTAGCTCAACGGTAGAGCTACAATCCCTTATATCTCCAGGTAGGGCTCGGAGAAACCCACTGCCTGAAAGCCTGGACAGCTGCTGCCAGTCAGCGTTGTGAATACTGAGTTAGATGGACCAAATGGACTGACTTCCTGTGTTCCTATGTTCCTAAGATAACTGTGCCCCATACTGATGGCTGTGTATGTGCGCAGGAATAACATCTGGGCTTCCCGCTTCCATTGGGTCCTGCAAGGGATGCACTCGTTTTCAGCCACAGAAAAATGCGCCTTGCAGGGAGATTTCTCAGAATATGTATTCCCTGCTCAACCCCCGCCGCCTCTGAAAAATGGGAAGGGGATTCCCTTCATCCCTAGGACATGCCACGTGCCCGCAATCCTGCTGCTCGCTGGGTGGAGAGAGGGATCTGGGCCAAACCTCAACAGCAGTAAAAAACAAAAAAAGCACCCCTCTCCAGCTCCCGGGAGCCGACCCAAGTCTTGGAAGAAAAACAATGAGGTCATCTTGGAAGCGCTGTGAAAGACAAGAGCCCAGACCTTCAAGGATCCATCGGAGGAGAGAGAGGGTGGTGGGGCAAAGGGGGAACAGAGATGGGACAGTCCTTGTCTACACAAGCTAGGGAGGAGGAGGAAGATTTATTTCATTTAGGAACTGCTTCCCACGAGGCATCCCATTACAAAGAATATGCTGGGAGCGTCAGGCCAGAAACAATATGAGCAGCTGGAATGGTGTGTGTGTGTATGTTTGTGAAGTAGACACTGAATTGGTGCCAAAGTGTCCTTTCTGCATTGACTCATCTGCCATAAAACCCAAGAGCATCGTCACTGGCAATTCGGGATATATTCTAGGCGAATCTATCCATTTTGGTTTTCCCCAGTTTTTAGTTTTTCTGATCTATTCAGTTTTCCACATCAGTTTGTTATTTATTTATTTATTATGCATTTTAGCTGGATAGCTCAGTTGGTTACAGCGTATTGCTGACAACACCGCGAGGTTGCAGGTTCGATCCCAGACAGCTGCAAATTCCTGCATTGCAAGGACTTGGACTAGAATGATCCTCAGGGTCCCTTCCAGCTCTAGGTTTCTATGAGATAACAGCACGTTAGTGTGAATTTCTCCCAACGGACGCATTCTTGTATGCAATTTCGCCTGATAGACACATTATTATTTTTTTGCAAAGCCATTTTCCCTAAAGTGATGCAATGCCTTATTGTGTGTTATTTTCACCCACATAGGGTTTCAACACACGCTTTACCAAAACATGCATTTTTGTAACCATGACTTGGCTGGGGAACCACGTTGCAAAAATTCAGAGAAGTGAGAATTTGGAAAGATGGCTTTGTTTTGGTTTGTGCATTCTTTCTGAAAGGGCTAATTAGGTAGGTTTGCTTTTAAATGCAAACTGGATCCAATTTTTCTTCCATCTCCAGCTGTGCATCCCCAGTTCAGGCCAGCCTTCACGGATCTTGCCATTGTACTCGTAAGCCAAGCACAACTATGTACTCTCCTGCAAGTCATGCATTGCTGGGCTGTTTCTGGGGGAAGGTTGCCAGCTGGTAGTGATGTCCTCCCCAAGCTTTCAAGGGATCTTGCCCCATATTTCTTCCTGTTAATGGGAAGGAGAGCACATCCTAGGCACAGGCAAGTTTCTCATTCGATCCCTGATATCCACTGGACATCCATTCAGGACAGATAAGAGAAAGGACTTATTTATTCAAGTTATAATTAAATGATGGAATTCACTGCCACAGTGAGGCACAGCTTTGAAAGAGGGCTAGAGCATGGGTAGGCAAACTAAGGCCCAGGGGCCGGATGCGTCCCAGTTGCCTTCTAAATCTGGCCCGCGGACGTTCTGGGAATCACATGTTTTTACATGAGTAGAATGTGTCTTTTTATTTAAAATGCATCTCTGGGTGGTTTGTGGGGCATAGGAATTCGTTCATTTTTTCCCCAAAATATAGTCCGGCCCACCACAAGGTCTAAGGGACAGTGGACCGGCCCCCTGCTGAAAAAGTTTGCTCACCCCTGGGCTAGAGGAATTCATGGAGAATATAACCTCAATGGCTGTGTTCCAGCTCTACTCTTGGTGGGATACTAAGGTGCCTCTGAATATCAGTGGCTGGGAACCACAAGTACAGAGGGGATTATTGCACCCAGGTCTTCCTAGCTGTGGTGTTCCCATAGGCACCAAGTTGGCCCCTGGGAGAACAGGATGCTGGGCAAGTCGGGCCTTTGATCTGGTTCAGGAGGACTCTTTTTACGTTCATGGGTGGCGCTGTGGGTTAAACCACAGAGCCTAGGACTTGCTGATCAGAAGGTCGGCAGTTCGAATCCCCGTGACGGGGTGGGCTCCCGTTGCTCGGTCCCTGCTCCTGCCCACCTAGCAGTTCGAAAGCACGTCAAAGTGCAAGTAGATAAATAGGTACCGCGGGAAGGTAGACAGCATTTCCGTGCGCTGCTCTGGTTCACCAGAAGCGGCTTAGTCATGCTGGCCACATGACCCTGAAGCTGTACGCCGGCTCCCTCGGCCAATAAAGCAAGATGAGCGCCACAACCCCAGAGTTGGCCACGAATGGACCTAATGGTCAGGGGTCCCTTTACCTTTATTCTTAATAAATTCAAGAGTCAACACGCCATCTTCAGAGGCAGCCTACCTGTGAACATCACACCCTGCAGAACCAAAAGCTTGGGTGGGGGGCAGCCATCTACCCCCCTTCAGTGGGTACATCTGACTGGCCACCTTTTGAAACCAGAACCCCAGGCCTTTCCTGTTTGGTGCTTCTTCTGCAGTCTGCCAGTGTCCTTCTGATAAAGAATCGCCAGGGACTCGCTCACACTTTGCTCGTCTTGTGTCTCTAAAGCACGGGTCCGAGTGCTTTCCCATTTCCCCCGGGGACAAACGGAAGTGTAGACGAGTCCCAAGACATGTTCCGTTGTTTGGCTAGCAGCGGCTATTTGCCCTGAGGACCCTGGCAGACAGCAGTCCTGAACACCCTTCAGAAACTGGGTTTTGCCCCTCAAGCCCTTCTATGTTTGGGGTTGGGCCAGGCAAAATCTACGGAATCATAGACACCGAGAGACAACAGGACTGCTCAAGGTGCCCCGACTATAAAATTGGAGAAATCGAGAGAGATATAGCTGCACAGGCAGCATATCTCTTCTTTCTCGTATCGAAAAATGCAAGAAGGGCTTTTACACTTGCCAGAAGCTTGGCTCTGTCCTCGCCTGTCCTGGAAGGAGCCTTTAAAAAATCCCATGTGGTCAGAGACTTTGCGCCTCTTCATTGGGGGAGATAGGAAGCCCAGAGCACTTGTTCTTTAGATGTCCCTTTTATGTAGAGGCACGAAGTAAGACCATTGATTCCCTACTGGTGAGGCTCACTGACCTCCAGGAAAAGCAAAAATTAGACCTTTTCCGGTTAGGCAAAGATCAGAAGACGACCCGGATGGTCACCAGATTCTGTGTACAGATCTGCAGGCGCAGACCATCTCCCGGCTCAAACTAGTTCGTTAAGAAAATCCCCAAACTCGGTTCCATGGGTGATTCTGGGTCAGCTCCCTGCGGCAGTTTATCTTAAAGTTTTAAGTGTCTATGTGCTTATCGCATTTATAAATTTTAAATTTATTGTTGTACATTGTTTTAATTGTTTGTTTTCTTTCTGTGACTGTACCCCCAAGTGCGTTTTATAAGCTGGTCTCCAACCATAATAAATTATCTATCTATCTATCTGCCCTGAGGACCAAGAACTGAGCCTCCAGGATCAGGGGCAGTCTACCTCATTACCAATTACCGGGCACAACGACAGCAGAGGGGCATATTTTGCTGCCCCTGTCGCAGGATTATGCTGTTTATTTGACTTGGCCACCGGATGGAAAGCCCACGCTGGACTGGAGGGAACCCTCTTTCGATGCGGTCCAGCAGCGTTTCCTGCCGCTTTAAGAGAGATCCCGGGACGGAAAATTCCACCCCGTGCAGCTTTCTCCCCTCGTTGCATCTTTTTGATGTGTGTTAGTGGGCGGGGGGAGCGCGCGCGAGCGAAGCCACATCAGATGGAAACCCGCGACTGCAAGCGACTCCTTAAAGGGACAGGAGCCCGGACGCCGCGACTTGGTCCGCGTTGAGGACAGGCGAGGTCCTGTAGTCGTGCTCCCTTCTCCTTTTGGGAGGGCGAGCAGAGCATCCTCAGCCCGCCCTGTTCCCCCCGATCCGTGCCCTCCACCTTGCCCGGAAACCTGCTCCGATCCGCGGGCGCAGAGGCAGGGAGAGCTCGGCTCGGATCGTGGAAGGGGAGCGAGGGACGCCGGGGGAGGCAGCGCTTCTTCGGCCGCGCCGTTGCAAGCGAGCCTCGGCTGCCGCCGCTGCCCTTTGTCCCTGCGGCGGCGCCGCCCCTTCCTCGGAGCGCCCCCATCCGCCGCCCCCGCCGGCCGCCCCGCCGGCCGCCGGTCCACGCCCCGCTCCTCCTCCTGCGCCTGGAAGCTGCGAGGATGGAGCGGCTCCTGCGAAGACCCCCGGCCGCCCTCCGCCGCCTCCCGCTCCTCCTTCTCCTCCTCCTGGGCGCAGCGGGCGCAGCCAGGCAGGGGCTGCAAGGTAAGCGGGCGGCGGGGACGGCGCGCTCGGTCCAAGCCCAGCCAAAGTCCCGGGTTCGATCCCCGAAGGGCTCGCTCGTCCGGAAGCGCTGCCCGAGCTCTGGTTTAGGGGCAGAAGGTGCCGGGTTCGATCACGGGGAGGGATTGCTGGAGAGATGCTGCCAGCCAGTGTCGACCAGGCGGACCCAGTGGTCGGATTGCTGCCGGTCAGTGTCGACAATCCGGAGCTAGACAGACTCAGTGGTCTTTTTTGCTGCTGGTCAGTGTTGGCAGCATGGGGCTAGTCAGTGTTGGTAATACCGAGCTAGGTGGACCCAATGGTCCAATTGCTGCCAGTCAGTGTCGACAGTCCTGAGTTTGATGGACCAAGTGGTCTGACTTGTATATGAGACAATCTGTTTAAATCAGCCGAATGCAAAAATGGTCCTTTTCTAAACGCAGAGTAAGCTTCTAGTTCTCATGGTTGCTTTTAATCACAAGAGAGGGCACTGATCAATAGCCAGACCACTGGTCCAACTGGCTCAATACTGACGACCTTTTATCCAAAACCACGAGGTCTGGATTCTTGCTTCACATTTCTGGGAAGAACCACCACCTAACAGCAGAGCATGTGGTTTGAATTCAGAATGTCCCAGGTTCCTTCTCATGTTGGGAGGCTGATTTAAACAGGAGCATCGGACGATACGCGGACTGCTGCTCCACCTAGCAGGCATCTTTTCCTGCCTCACCTGGAAATGCCATCGGGGACTGAACCCTCCGCATGCAAAGAAGATGCTCTGCTTCTGAGCAATAGTCCTTCCCTTAAATCTAAAGTAAGAGTCCAGTCCTCATGACTCTGGATTAAGGGCTGATTTCAGCAAGATGTTTCCTCGCAGTCAGACTCTTAGTCCAGCTAGCTTGGACAGGGAGTCTCCAGGGTTTGGGAGGCGGGACAACGGCATTCTCAGCCCTGCTGGAGATGCCAGGGATTGAACGGGAGACCTTTCGCCTGCAAAGCTGATGGTGCAACTCTGAGTAAGAGAAGGAAGGGAAGATGGCAAGGAGGACAACAATTTAACCCTCCCTGTCCCCAAGTCACTATGGCCATCTCTAATCCCATGACACACACGTTTGGATCTGCTTTTTAAATCATCCTTCTATCCCCTCTCTCTCTCTTCTCTGAGAAGCTCAAGGTAGTTTACATCTTCTTCCTTCTCCCTTTATCCTCACACCAACCCTTCGAGGTAGGCTGAGCCAAGAGACGCTGAGCTTCTGAACCCGACTCTCTCCAGTTAAATATTCTAAACATTTAAGGTTCACTGGCTGTCAATGTAAAGAAATAGTTTGTTGTTGTTGTTGTTGTTTAGTCGTTTAGTCGTGTCCGACTCTTCGTGACCCCCTGGACCAGAGCACACCAGGCACTCCTGTCTTCCACTGCCTCCCGCAGTTTGGTCAAACTCATGCTGGTAGCTTCGAAAACACTGTCCCACTATCTCGTCCTCTGTCGTCCCCTTCTCCTTGTGCCCTCCATCTTTCCCAACATCAGGGTCTTTTCCAGGGAGTCTTCTCTTCTCATGAGGTAGCCAAAGTACTGGAGCCTCAGCTTCAGGATCTGTCCTTCCAGTGAGCACTCAGGGCTGATTTCCTTCAGAATGGAGAGGTTTGATCTTCTTGCAGTCCATGGGACTCTCAAGAGTCTCCTCCAGCACCATAATTCAAAAAAGAAATAGTTTAGTATCGATAAATAAAGCAATATATTGGTGCTGGTGTTCTTAGTTCTGCAAATCTAACAAGTGATCAAAATAGGAAGAGTGATGGTGGAGAAGTAGAGGGGGACTGAGATAATATCGTAAGTTTAAGAGTTCAGCGCTTCAAATGTTGTTGGGGGGGATGCCACATTTTTGAATGCTGCCGTGCATTAACACCATCCTTTCCCTGCATGGAGAAAGCCAGCTCCAAAGGCAAACCGTTGGTCTCCTAGGACACATCTCCCTGATGAGCTGTGTTTCTGCTTGCGGGGATTTGTTGTCATCTTAATGTGGAGGAGCATTTGGAAGTGGTGCTTCTCTCCTATGGCCTAAAGTGGTACAGACCATTCAATCAGGGTCTACAGATAACCAAAATAAAGCAATAGAATGGACTGTATCACTCCAGACACTTTGAGAAGCTTCTCCCTCCACATACAAAAAACAATTGAACTCTCTGTGAGGAGAAATGTAGCACTTCAGGGAGAGCAATGGGCAGGGAGCTTTTTACGGAGAGGAGCATTTGCGTGTGTTGCGGAGGGGTGGAATAAAACCTCCCCTTCACTCGGAGTCCAAGTGGCACAGTCCATTCCGATGCTTTGTCCAGATGCATGTGTGAACAGGGGATGAATCAAGCCCCTGATTTGTATGCAGAAGGTCCCAGGTTCAATTCCCACCATCTCCAGGTAGGACTGGGAGAAAGACCCCGTCTGAACTCCAGGAAAGCTGCTGCCAGTCAGTGTAGGCAACACTAGCCTAGATGGACCAATAGTTGTTTCAGTGTAAGGCAGCTTCTTCCTATGGTCTTTTCCTCTTATGCTTAACTCTGTGACAATGTTCTGTGCTGCTCAGACTGGCAGCCAACCCCCCCCTCCCCCAAAAAAACCAGGCAAGTTGTTAATCCATCCAGGGGCCAAATCATCGCCAATGGCTGTAACATTCCTTTCCGTAGCAGCTGTCCAAATTAAGTGTTAACGGTATTCCTGGTTTTAGATATATATAGTTAATCTGTTTGTACTCCAAGTTCTGGGCAGGATCTGCCCCGACTTCTGTGCCAGGGAGTGGAATCCGAAGATGTTCCAGGTGGACTCTTTATCAGACACCGCGCACACCTTTGGGAGGTCTGGTCCGGGGCGGGTGGCGAGGCTGTGAATATGGAGCCTCTCCTCCTGCCCAGAAGGAGACCACAGAACCCCCAGTAGATGCAAAGGCTTCTGTGTGCTTGAACGGAGACAGTGTGCTCAATCCATTCTTGTAAATAAATATCGGGCTGGAAGGCTGCAAGCCGGAGGCCCCCTTTTCCCAGGATTTGCAGTGCCTTCCATAAGTACACAAGGACAGCCTGGGGCCCATTGACTCCATCTACTCTCGCAGTGGCCGACCAGGACCTGAGCACAAGAACACTCTGCCCACTTGCGACTCCATGCAACGGGCACCTAGAGGCAGAATGCATCTGACAGTAGAGGTAGAATGTAGCTGTCATGGCTAGTAGCCATGGACAGCCTTTTCCTCCAAGATTTTGTCCTCTTAAAGCCACCCAAGGGACGCGGGTGGCGCTGTGGGTTAAAACACAGAGCCTAGGACTTGCTGATCAGAAGGTCAGCGGTTCGAATCCCCCGACGGGGTGAGCTCCCGTTACTTGGTCCCAGCTCCTGCCAACCTAGCAGTTCGAAACCATGTCCAAGTGCAAGTAGATAAATAGGTACCGCTCCAGCGGGAAGGTAAATGGCATTTCCATGCGCTGCTCTGGTTTGCCAGAAGCGGCTTAGTCATGCTGGCCACATGACCCGGAAGCTGTACACCGGCTCCCTCGGCCAATAAAGCGAGATGAGCGCCACAACCCCAGAGTCGGCCACGACTGGACCTAATGGTCAGGGGTCCCTTTACCTTTTTAAAAGCCATCCAAGCTGGTGGCCATCTATGCCTCTTGTGGGATTGAGTTCCACAGTTTAACAAAGAAAGACTTTCTTTTATCTGTTCCAACATTCAGCTTCATTGCAGTGGTGTAGCATGGGTTGCTGGTGCTCGGGGCAGCATGTGTGGGAGGAAGGGAAACGTAGACATTCAACTGCCCTGAAGCTGCAGAGATAAGAAAAGAAGAGTCGTTCCATTGTCTGGAGAGGTCAGTTCCTGGTTCGCACTGAGAAGCCGTTTTGAACGGAGCCCAGCGATGCAAGCGCACAGCTATGTTGAAGCAGCACCGGGTGTCAAAATGTTGTGCCCCTAACAATTTTTCACCTGGGGAAGCCGTCCCTCTGGCTCCCACCCCACGCCCTGCCACTGATTGGATATCCATGCGTTCTAGCATTATAAGAGAGGGAGAAAAACTTTTCCCTATCCAATTTCTCCATGCCGGGCATAATTTTTATAAACTTCTATCATGTCACCTTTTCACTAAACTAAGAAGTCCCAAACACTGCAACCTTTCAGTCCATCCCTTTGGTGATTTTAATTTTGCTTCCCTGAACCTTTCCCAGCTAAACAATATCCTTTCTGGAGTGAGGCAGCAGGCACCGTACTGAGTTGGAAAGAGGCAGGGCTCAGCAGCAGCAAAGTTGACCTGGTGCAAACTCACCAGCAGAACTAGACTCCCTGCCAGTATGTTCCCACTGCGCTGACCTCCCTGCTACACCCATCTCCATCCTGGTATTATTCTGCAGTGACTCAGTTACATGAAGGTTGGGTGAGTGGGGCAGTCCTGCCAACATTGTCTGCTGCGACTGCAAATGAAAGAGACATTCAGCTAGACACTCTCAAGGCAACACACCCTGCCTTTAAATTATAATAATTCCAATCATGAAAACAAAACTCACACACAATATTGCATTGCAGTGGGTAATGTTTTGATGCAGGAACAAGCTGGATGGTTGCATTTTGTTCTGGAAATGCAGTAAATTATCCTGATGTGAAAGGAGGGCAGAGAAATCAAGGTAGATGAGAATAACAAACCCTCCAAGTGCCCCTATTTTCCAGGGACATCCCTGATTTAGAGAAGGCGTCCCTTTTTTTATTTGATCCTGGAATGTCCCTCTTTTCCTTAGGACATCCCTATTTTCATTGGAGAAATGTTGGAGGGTATGGAGGCAATCCTGTACTGGGAAGGTTTTTAAAAAATGTTTAATTTTTATTATGTTTTTATATATGTTGGAAGCTGCCTAGAGTGGCTGGGGCAACCCAGGAAGATGTGTGGGGTATAAATAGTAAAATCATCATTATGGAATGGGACGTCCCTATTTTCATAGGAGAAATGTTGGAGGGTGTGGAATAAAATCCTAAAGTCAAGAAGACCTTACTTCAGGTGGAGGGTTGGGAAAGATTGAAACTCATCTAGGCTGCCACCTTGTGTGGAGATCAGGAGTTGCACTTGGCTCTAAAAGCACAGCATCTTTTCCTGAGCCAAACTTACCCGCCGTCCTGCAGAACACTTGGAAATTGTCTGTGGCCTTCTTGGCTTGCATAGGCAGCTGCCTCTTACCATTGGTTGGTACTGACTGCACTGACTGGCAGCAGCTCTCCAGGGTTTTGGAAAGGGAGTCTCTTCCAGCCCTACCTAGAGATACCGGGTCTTGAACCCAGGATCTTGTTCACATATAGAAAGATCCCACCACGGAGCTATGGCCCTTCTCTTAAATCAGGCATAGGCAAATTCGGCCCTCCAGCTGTTTTGAGACTGCAATTCCCATCACCCCTGACCACTGGTCCTGTTAGCTAGGGATGATGGGAGTTGCAGTACCAAAACGTCTGGGTTTGCCTATACCTGCCTTAAATAGACCGGTAAGGTTCCAGTCCTCATGGTTCTCAGCTGATTGGTGCGTGGTGTTGATAACGTCAAGGTTGCAGGTTCAAGTCCTATATGGGAACAGCTGCATATTCCTGCATTGCAGGGGGTTGAACGAGGATGATTCCAGCTATACAAAGCCACTTCCGCCCTGCCAAAGGTGGTGGTGTTGCAGGCTTCACGCCCCCACCACGTGCCCCGCATATTGAAGGGTAGTCCCATAAAGGTTTCTGGGGGGCATGTCCCTGTCTGAAGCCTATGGAGCTGAGGGCCTAAGGCACGCCCCCAAGCGGTGACCCCAGGGGAATTCCTTTTTTTTATTATTAATTTTATATGATATTTATTAAAGTTTCAAAGAAAAAATTACATAAATAAAAAGAAAAAAGAAAGAAATAAAAAAGAAAAAGAAAAAAAATACAAAATACAGAAAAAAGATAAAAAACATTTAAAAAACACATCAATCTTTCTGTACCTTACATTTCATTTCCTTGCTTCCCTGACCTCCTCACACCTCCCTTTTTTGTATTCAAGTTCTATTAATTAATTCAGCAATTCCTTTCCCTCTTTGTTTTTATCTTAATCCTTTAACTTAATAGATTATGACATTGGATTTTCACCTGTTAACAATCCATTTTTACATACACCTTAATAACATTGCTGATAAAACCACTTAACTTCATTCTGACATCATTCTAACATTCATTAATTTTGCAATATTTCTGTAAATAGTCTTTAAATTTCTTCCAATCTTCTTCCACCGACTCTTCTCCCTGGTCTCGGATTCTGCCAGTCATTTCCGCCAATTCCATATAGTCCATCACCTGCATCTGCCATTCTTCCAGAGTGGGTAAATCTTGTGTCGACCCCGGGGGAATTCCTAGTTGACGTGCATCAGCAGGACTCCCCCTACTGGTGGTTAACCCTTCCCAGACGGGATGAAGTCGGATATAGTCGGTTAGGACCAATGCCTAAGCATAGCTGTCAATTTACAGATTTGAAAATAAGGGACCAGCAGCCTCGAAAATAAGGGATTAGCAGCCAAAATAAGGGATTTTCCAAGCACAGGTATGTTCAACTTCTGAGCCCCTCCGAGCCAAAGGCAGAAAGCCCAGCCAGCAGCCAAACGAAGCCTCAAGTGGTGGTTCCCACAGCGCAGCAACCCGGCAAAGGGGATGCAGCAAGGAAAACCACCATCACCTCTCCGCTGGGAAGCGCTGAGCAAAGGCGAGTCCCCAGGCAACGCGGCCGATTTGATCGGCACAAGGCATGCAAGCTCCACCCCCCAGTCGTTCTTAGACTCCTTATTGGGTGAGCAACGCAGCCAAGCAACACAGTTGGAGCCTCCCTCCTCCCTGGCCGACAGGGAGGCAGGGAGGGAGAGGAGCTGCTTCCTTTGAAACCCAGGAAATTTAAGGGACATCATCAATAAGGGACAGCAGCGGGACACGGCACGGGGATAAGGGACTTTCCCGCCAAATAATGGATGGTTGACAGCTATGTGCCTAAGCCAATACTGCTCATCCCCTGTAACCAATAAAGTTGTGGCCTTATTTAGCCCATTAACCTTAATAATTGTGCCATGTGTCTTTATTTCCACTGGGGACAGTGGAACTCGCCACGCAATTCTATGATTCTATGAATCAGGCTGTTGGTCCATCTAACTCAGTATTGTCCACACTGACTGGCAGCAGCTCTCTCCAGGGTTTCAAGCAGCCCTGTGTGAAGCTGCCGCCGGGGATTGAACCTCGGACGTTCTGGATGCAAAGCAGATGTTCCCCCCACCGAGCTACGAACGTGCATCAGACAGGCAGAGGGAGAAAGTGCCACGATGCAAACTCTTTTTCTTCTGTGACGGACAGCCAGTTCTGCCAATGCTTGACCTTTGCTCTCCCGCTGCTCCTCCCCTAGTTCTTGACCTCCTGTCGGTGACGGAGCCCAGGCATATGGCCAATGTGGCTGAGAAGATCCGCACGGAGCTGCTGACCGTCCGTGACCTCTACCTGCTCTCCACCTTCCGCCTGCCCCCCAAGCAAGGCGGGGTGTTGTTTGGGCTCTACTACAAGAAGGACAACAGCCGCTGGCTTGAAGCCACGGTGGTGGGCAAGACCAACAAAGGTGAGTGAGAGCGAGGAGACCTAGGATCCGAACCCGCCACCCTGGCCAGGGGAAAAGAAAAGGGCCAGGAATGTCTCAGGCCCCACTTGCACTGAGCATTTAAAGCAGCATTTGCTACTTTAAACAGCCACGGCTCCCCTCCCGCAAAGACCCCTGGGAACTGTAGTTTGTTAAAGACGCCGGGCGTCGTTCAGAGTCCCCCTGTTCCCCTCTGATTCCTGGAGTTGCCTGGGAAGAGAGATTGAGCGCTAAGCCGCTCTGAGAATTGTAGGACGGGGGTCTCCTAAAAACTCTTAGCACCTATAACAAACTACAACCCCCAGGTTGGTTGGTTGTTTTTTTAAAAATTGCAAGCTGATTCCTAACTGTTGCTCCAGCTGGGGGGGAAAAAGTCCTGAGTTTAAGTACAGTGGTACCTCGTTTTACAAACAGTCCTGTTAATGAACTACAGTGGTACCTCAGGTTAAGAACTTAATTCATTCTAGAGGTCTGTTCTTAACCTGAAACTGTTCTTAACCTGAAGCACCACTTTAGCTAATGGGGCCTCCTGCTGCCGCTGTGCCGCCAGAGCACGATTTCTGTTCTTATCCTGAAGCAAAGTTCTTAACCCGAGGTAATATTTCTGGGTTAGCGGAGTCTGTAACCTGAAGCGTATGTAACCTGAAGCATATGTAACCTGAGGTACCACTGTATTCGGTTTACGAACTCCGCAAAACCAGAAGTAGTGTTCCGGTTTGTGAACTTTACCTCGGTCTATGAAGGGAATCTGAAAAGTGGAAGGGCACCAGCAGTGGGAGGCCTCATTAGGGAAAGCGCGCCTCTGTTTCAGAACGGATTTGGTTTAAGAACGGAATTCAGGAACGGATTAAGTTCATAAACCGAGGTACCACTGTAATAAGTTAACTTTGACCTGAAAGAAACGCATCTCCTGACCCAACTTTGTTTTACCAACCTTTTTTCTCCGTAAATAAATCTTTTATTGTTCGATCAACCCCTGCCTGAGACTCCCGGAATGAAGACCCCCAAAAGATAGCCTGCAGTAAATTGTAGAAATTCATTTAATTGGCGTGCCGTGAGTCCACTATATTTAATTAGGGACAGTTATCGGGGTGAGTCCATTTACATGTCTAAGGAGTTGGCCATCACAACTATAGCATTTGCAGTCATACCTTGGAAGTCAAACGGAATCTGTTCCGGAAGTTCATTTGACTTCCAAAATGTTCAGAACCGAAGCGCGACTTCTGATTAGCTGCAGGAAACTCCGTCGGACGTTCGGCTTCCAAAAATAGTTCGCAAACCGGAACAGTCACTTCTGGGTTTGCGGCATTCGGGAGCCAAAACGTTCGAAAACTAAGCTGTTTGAAAACCAAGGTACGACTGTACACAGCTTTGAATACCATGCCCATCCCTTCTTTCTCTCTCTCTCTCTCCCCCCAGTCCACCTCCGATACCTGCGGGCCGACGGGAAGGTGCATTCGGTGAACCTGCAGAACACCAACCTGGTGGACGGGCGCAGCCACACCGCCCTCCTGCGGATGAGCGGCCTGCAAGGCGGCCGCCTCTCGGTGGAGCTTTACGTGGACTGCAAGCTAGTGGACTCCAGCGCCGGGCAGCCTGAGATGGCGCCCCTCGACCCGGAGCAGGTGGAGGCGGTGGAGGTTCGGACGGGACAGAAAGGCTATCTCCGCTCGCAGGTAAGGGAGGAGAAGAAGAGCCCAGCCGCCGCCGCCGTTCCGCCACCCTTTAGTGTGACCGAGGGATTGATTGATTGATTGGGTGGTTCACAGAAAAGATCACAATATACCGTATTTTTTGCCCTATAGGACGCACTTTTCCCCATCCAAAAATGAAGGGGAAATGTGTGTGCGTCCTATGGGGCGAATGCAGGCTTTCGCTGAAACCTGGAGAGCGAGAGGGGTCGGTGCACACCGACCCCTCTTGCTCTCCAGGCTTCAGGAAGCTCTCCGCAAGCCGTGGGAGAGCTGTGCGAAGTCTCTCTCTTGCGGAGAGCTGCCTGCACCCAGAAGCCTGGGGCGCGCTGAGCTCAGCGCCCCCCAGGCTTCAGGCTTCGCGCAGCTCTCCCATGGCTTGCGGACAGCAGCCTGTTCTGGGGTCGGGGAAGCTCGGGCTTCCCCCGCCCCAGCCCCGCACCTGGGGGGGAAATAATTTTTTCCCCTTTATTTCCCCCCCAGAAAACTAGGTGTGCCCTATGGGCCGGTGCGCCCTATGGGGTGAAAAATACGGTACAAAATCAAAGTTAAAAACAATAACCCAATAACATTTTTACATAAATGGTGTTCGTTGTTGAACTGCTATAATATGCTGTTTGGGTAAGGCGACTAAAGCTCCAATTAAGGCTTAGAATAAAACCAAACACTTTTTACTTTAGATGTCATCAATATTATGATAGTTTGGCCTTTTATATAATACACTGATTTCTCTGATACTTTTCATGTACAAATGGGATGGGAAGCGAAGGGCAGGGCTATGCAAATGAAAGGGAGGGGCAGTACAGAAAGGGGCCGTCCCGGTTTGCAATGGCTGCAGATCTCTAGGGAGAGTGTGATGATCAGGAGTGACAACTTGGATTAAATATGGTGGGGGGCAGCTAAGCCTCGCCACACATAATCGCATGACATGATGCACCAGTAGAATGGCAAAGTCCATCAACTTTGGGGGCCCCCAGCCCCCTCAAATACCGTATTTTATTAGGAGTTGGTTCCTGTGGTGCCGTTTTAATTCTCACCATGCCCATAGGGTCTTTAAGAGCTGACCTTTCTGTTTCCTCCATAAGACAATGGCTGAAGCTTTTTATTACGTTACGAAGCTGATTTATGTTAATGAAGAAAAATTCAGCCTTCCTCTCTTATAGCACTCCCTCATTTTATTATTAGATTATTATTTATAATAAAATTTGTATTCCACCCTATACCTGTAGATCTCAGGGCGGTTCACAGTGTAAAATTACAATATAAAAACCACAAAGAACGTAATAAAAATAAGAACAAAAACCAAGCCAATAATCCACCCCTCCCTTTCCACGACACATTTAAAAATGCATCTGATATCCGTCAGCCAAAGGCTTTGTTGAAGAGGAACATTTTCTCCTAATGGTATATAATGAAGGCGCCAGTTGAGCCTCCCTGGAGAGATCATTTCACAAACAGGGAGCCACCACAGAAAAGACCCGATCTTGTGTTGCAACCCTCCGTACCTCACATGGAGGAAACACACAAAGAAGGACCTCAGAGGAAGACCTCAGGGTCCAGGTTGGTTCATATGGAGAGAGGCGGTCCTTGAGGTATTGAGGTCCTGAGCCGTTTATCCGTACAGCAACCTTGTGAGGTAGGGTTGGGTGAGATAAGTTGACTGGCAAAAGGCAGGCTTCCTCAAACTCGACCCTCCAGATGTTTTTGGCCTACAACTCCCATGATCCCTAGCTAGCAGGACCAGTGGTCAGGGATGCTGGGAATTGTAGTCTCAAAACATCTGGAGGGCCGAGGTTGAGGAAGCCTGGGGCAAATTAGTATCTGGCCCTCATAAGTCTTTCCCAAGCCATACCCCTGCACCCTCCTCTAATGTTTTTGCCAGGCTAGAATGTGTCCTTGAATTCCTCATGATGCCTCTAGCCTGCCAGAAAGAAGAATTCGAGAGGGGTGTTTGCAATAACCAGCCTACCGTACAAAGGGGGGGGGCATTGCATTCATTGCTCCTCCCACTTTTGCTTCTGGCTCCACCCACCGCCTGCATGTGGCCCCTGGAAGGCGAATGTGGCCCTTGAACTTTACTAGTCTCACTTGCCCCCATTTAGGGGATTGCAACCTAGGCGTACTGACACTGCTCCTCACCCCCATTTCCATCTAAGGGTTTCTTGGAATCCCTGAAGCTGATCCTGGGAGGCTCAATGAGCCGCGTGGGAGCCTTAAGCGAATGTCCCTTCCAGGGGGATGAATCCATGCAGAACACTGGTAAGGATTTCTTCGGCTTTTTATTTGAACGGCCAGAGCGGGATATTCCGTTCACGTTCAGGATCTGGGCTCAGGGTCCTGTGGAGCATTCCCACTATGGCCGCATTCACACAACACGTTTAAAGCCGTGTCGGACCGCTTTAACCCCAAAGGATTCTGGGAGCTATCATTTGTTCAGGGTGCTAAGAGTTGTAAGGAAACCCACCCCGAGCTACAATTCCCAGAGTGGTTTAACAGTCAATCCAATCTCACAGAGAACTCTGGGAATTGTAGTTCGGGGCTGGGAGGGATAGGAGGGGTTTCCTAACAATTTTCGGTATCTTTAACACACTACAGGTCCCATAATATTTTTGGGGAAGCCAGGGCTGCTTAAAGTGGGATGAGAGCTTTTTAAATGGATGCTGTGAATGTGGCCTCTGAGTTACAATGGAACCTCGGTTGTTGAACATTTCGGAAGTCAAACAATTTGGAACCCAAATGTCAACAACCCTGAAGTGAATGCTTCCGTTTTCGAACGCGCCTCGGAAGTCGAAGCGTTTCTCCATTTTTAAAAAAGGAATTTGCCGACTGGCAATTGCACCTCGTTTGTTGAACATTTCGGAAGTCGAGCAGTCTTCCGAAATGGATTACGTTCGACAACGGAGGTTCCACTTTATTCTGATAGCAGAGGCCCACATCCTCGGTTTGAGTCCACCAGTGTGTTATTGAACTTCTTCAAGTCCTTACATAACATTTTAATTCTGTTTTCTTTTCCATTTCAGTATCCAACGTGATCAATTCCCTCTTTGGTGAGTCTGATGACTGCTCCTTGGTTATGTCCCCCTCATCCATGTGTGTCTCAGAACAAATCTTGTCTTCTTAAGCACAAGCTTTTTCCTCAGTTACAGAGCTTGTTGGGTGGTGCGGGCAATGATGTTCTTGGTTCAAGCATCTTAAGTCTTAAGGCGTGAGTGGGCAAACTAAGGCCCGGGGGCCGGATCCGGCCCAATTGCCTTCTAAATCCGGCCCACGGATGGTCCAGAAATCAGCGTGTTTTTACATGAGTAGAATGTGTCCTTTTATTTAAAATGCATCTCTGGGTTATTTGTGGGGCATAGGAAATCGTTCTCCCCCCCACAAAAAAATATAGTCCGTCCCCCCACAAGGTCTGAGGGACAGTGGACCGGCCCCCTGCTAAAAAAGTTTGCTAACCCCTGTGAGGTGTTACTAGCAGTACATAAAGCCCTTAACAGCTTGGGACTAGTTTACCTGCGGAGATTGCTTTACCCCAAATATTCCCATTTGATAGCTTTGATCAGTGGAACCGGTTCTGTTACACGTGCCCCATAATACTCATTCTGCATTTATAAGAGGTCAGTCTTTTAGCTTGGCGGTACCTGAACTTTGGCAGCACCTGAACTGTTGACGTCAGGCAGACACCTTTGCAATACACTTTTCGGTGCCTGCTAAAAATATCATTGTTTAGGCAAGCCTATCCAGACCTGTAGAACATCGGCATGTGTTTTGACCTGGCTTTTTAGCTTATCGACGATCTTAATTATTTTTCAAATGTTTTAAACGGTTGCTTTCCCGCTGATAATTTCAGCATTTCTTTCAGCATTTGTAAAACACCTTCTGAGGTGGTTTTTCTTGTACATAAATGGATTTCCCATAAAAATAAATAAGTCGAGGCAATTGACTTTCCCCCATTGTTGTGACAGGGGAGCAAACCAGGGCCCTCGTGAAACAACTCACCCTTTTCAACCAGATCCTGATGGAACTTCAGGAGGACATGAGAGACCAGGTGAGAGGGGGACAATAAGCCCAGGTAAGGTCAACCTGGGGAGGGGGGTATACAACTTTGCAAAAAAAAAAAGAAATCTCAACCACTTTCATGTCTGTATTTTCACCTTTTGAAATATGGCAACCCTACACTGAAAACCTTTCCTATTCGGTCAGCGTAAAAGGAATACATCTTTTCAAAATAGCTACTGTTATGTACTGAAGTTCTCACCCTGGGCCAGCAGGGGGATACTGTAGATAGTTTTCACTCAGGTCCGCATATGCAAATAAGGAAGTAAAAGTAACGTTCAGTGATTGGATAGTTACAGAAAGTTGTTACTGTTGCTTTGTAGTTGAGCTCTATATAAACAGGCTGGCTGAACCCTTCAGCTCAGTTCTGTTCTGGCCTGTGAATAAACAAGAGCTGTCTGAAGAATCGCTGTGTCATCTGATATGTTCACCCACAACTTAACAGCTACCCAATTTCTTATTATTAATATTTTTTGTATTGTTTGGTTTGCTGCGCAGTTGTTGCAAACTACTCTGCTGCCCCATTTCCTTGTCCATTGCTCCAGCGCCACATCTGCGGCGCACTCCATTGCGCACAGTGATGTGTCTCTGTTCTTCCCAGGTGAAGGAGATGTCTTTGATCCGGAACACCATCATGGAATGTCAGGTGTGCGGTGAGTGCCGAGGGAGGGGACTGGGTGGGAAAGACTGAATGACGTGAAATTGGGTGCTTTCCTGGACTGAGGCAAGCACTGTTCATGATTATATGTTGGGCTTTAAGTTATGTGAAATTCCCAGCACTAAATGCTTAAAGAGACCCCTTGAGTCGATTGCCACATTTAGCAACATCGATAAAATCTATTACCTGCTGTCTGGCTTGGACAAACTGGTTATATTTAACACAGTGAAGTTTGTGCTAAAAGCCTCTCAGCTCAGGAAAGCCCTAAAGTCCTGTCTTGCACACAGAGTTGTCCGCCATTTGTCTATATCTGTGAAGTGTTTTATAATGTTTTAAACATATGTGCTATAATCAGTGCTTTTTTTCCTAACAAAAATGTTTAGAGGTACTCTCATTTTAACTCAAGAAAACCACCATTTTATAGTTCAAATCGGGAAAAATGAATACAGTAAATGGACAAAAGTACAAAGATTCACAAAATGGTTAGAGGCATGCGTCCCCCCAGGGGAAAAATAGCACTGGCTAGAATATGTTTTTGAGATGTGTTTTTGTTTGCTCTTGGCTATAACCTGTATTTGGTTGACCAATAAAATCTGATGATGATGATTTCATCAGTCATCCTAGCACAGCCTTCTGGGGTGGGTCACTTGCCATATTATTATTATTATTACCTTGCCCATCTGACTGGGTTACCCCAGCCACTGTGGGCAGCTTCCAACATATATAAAAACATAATGAAACATCAAACATAAAAAAAATTCCCTATACAGGGCTGCCTTCAGATATTTTCTAAAGGTTGTTTATTTACTTATTTCCTTGGCTCTGGGGTTGCATAAATCCATACCCTCCAACAATTCTCTGATGAAAATAGGGACGTCCTAGGGGAAAGCGGGACATTCTGGGATCAAATCAGAAACTGGGACAGCTTCTGTAAATCCGGGACTGTCCCTGGAAAATAGGGGCACTTGGTGGGTCTGCAATAGGACTGGAATATGGGCCCAGAGCAAATGCCCAACCCTTGATGCAGGCTCTGGTTGTCAGCATCCTTCCCCTTATTATTCCTTTGCTCCAGTATTCTGTGACTTGACCCCTCGCTGCCATCGTTCCCCCTCCTCCCCACGACAGGGTTTCACGAACACCGCTCCCGCTGCAACCCAAATCCTTGCTTCAGCGGCGTCGACTGCATGGAGACCTACGAGTACCCGGGATACCGTTGCGGACCTTGTCCGCCAGGCTTTGAAGGCAACGGCACCCACTGCGCCGACATCAACGAGGTAAGCATGGTAGTTTTAGCGTCATTCAACTAGGAATTTGGCCGTCCTGAGGCTGAGGTTTAGCTGCCAGCCAGATTCATCATCCTCTGTGCTGCAGTCGACACGGTCGTGCTCAGATCTCGGTGACCTCGCAGTTTCCAGCTCGATGCCAGATCAGATTTGTCATTCTTTGGCAAAGGGTTTTATTCCACCACAAACTCTTAGGCTGATTTACAGATGATCTTGCTTAATGGTCCCACCCCGCTTTCTTAAGGTCAAGTGTTTTCTTTGTTCGGTTTCTTTCCTTGGGCAATAACTCTGAACGATTTTTGCCTGCTGTTAACTCTTCTCTTTTTGTGTGTGTTGAATAATCCCCCGCCCAATTTTTTTTATTGGTTTTCCAAATTTATAATAAACACAAAAAGAAAACATACAACAAACAAACAAACAAACAAACATATATCTTAACTGTTAGAATCCCACTTTAAATAACATTGTTAGGTGATTTCCTCAGATCCCCCCAACTGTGTTTCCATAATACTCATTTTAGCAGTTTTCCAATATCCACTTTCAAATAAAATTAACTTGTTCCATTAACATCTTTCTTTCTTTTCATATTGCTCTCAATCCATAATGTTAAACAATCAATCTGTTTTACTCCTAGGCCAATTTGGTACTTTCAAGTAGTTCTACTTAATTTATGTTTGAGTATCTTGCTAAATAGTCCTTAAATTTCTTCCATTCTTCTTGATGTTCCTCTTCCTTCCGATCGCGGATTCTTCCGGTCAGGTCAGCCAGCTCCAAAAAATCCATCATCTTCACCCGCCATTCCTTAATTTTTATTTGATTTCAAGAAAACAAAACAGAGGAACTTCTAGTAAACACACCTAACAGAATCTTGCTACCGACACAGCAATGCAAATCTTTATTACGGTCATAGAGCAGCATTAACGCTACCAAGACAGAGTCACATCAAACGATGAAATTATCTTGGAATAATTGCCAGTTTTGTGTGATTATTATGCATCAGTATAACCCGTCGAGAGCAAGTTGTGGGTATTGGAAGGGCCTGAGAATTTTGTAAAACCTAATAAACAAAGTGATTGTTTTAAAAAATGAGATAGGCAGGTACAGTAGTGCCTCGCAAGACGAAATTAATCCGTTCCGCGAGTGTCTTCGTCTAGCGGTTTTTTCGTCTTGCGAAGCAACCCTATTAGCGGCTTAACGGATTAGCGCTATTAGCGGTTTAGCAGCTATTAAAGGCTTATCAGCTTAGTGGATTAGCTGCTAAAAGGCTATTAAAGGCTTAGCGGCTTAGATAAGGGGGGGGGGAGCGAAAAAAATATCTCAAGACTCGCAAGACATTTTCGTCTTGCGAAGCAAGCCCATAGGGAAATTCGTCCTGCGAAGCAACTCAAAAACGGAAAACCCTTTCGTCTAGCGGGTTTTCCGTCTTGCGAGGCATTCGTCTTGCGGGGCACCACTGTAGCATGGTGTTGAGGGTTGGCACCAATTTGAAGAGGAAGGACTCACAACGGAGGTCTCCTGTCGTCCACAGTGTGCCCATGCCAACCCCTGCTTCCCTGGATCCAAATGTCTCAACACGGCACCCGGTTTCCGCTGCGAACCCTGCCCGCCCGGCTACAAGGGGAACCTCATATCTGGAGTAGGGGCAGACTATGCCAGAGCCAGCAAACAGGTGAGGATTTTTTTGGGGGGGGTGTTTCTTTTATATAAAACCAAGATTGCCCATGGGGTTATATTCCTTTGTCCCAGGCACATGGTGGAACAGGCATCATTACTGGTGCTGCAAAATGCTCGTTCCCCATTTGTAAGAAACCAACCTTTTCGGGTAGCAGCATCTACACTTGGGAACTCCCTGCCTATTGACACCAAAGAGGGGCGTTTGCCACATTCTTTTCTGCTAAAAAAGTTTTGGCTTAAGGACTTGCCGATCAGAAGGTCAGCGGTTCGAATCCCCACGACGGGGTGAGCTCCCGTTGCTCGGTCCCTGCTCCTGCCACCTAGCAGTTCGAAAGCACGTCAAAGTGCAAGTAGATAAATAGGTACCGCTCTGGCGGGAAGGTAAACGGTGTTTCTGTGCGCTGCTCTGGTTCGCCAGAAGCGGCTTAGTCATGCTGGCCACATGACCCGGAAGCTGTACGCCGGCTCCCTCGGCCAATAAAGCGAGATGAGCGCCGCAACCCCAGAGTCAGTCACAACTGGACCTAATGGTCAGGGGTCCCTTTACCTTTACCTTTTATCCAGACACGTACAATGTTGTCACGTTTTTATCTTATTGTTCATTTTAATTACCTTTCAAGTGTGTTTTTAGCTGTGTTTCAACAATCATTTCATTGTTTTATTCTTTTTGTAAACCACTCTGAGGTGTTTTCTTACATGTGCTGTTAGCTATTACAACGACAGTCGATTTATTGATCACCTTCTAAGGCACCATCTCAAGACGATTTCCACATAAGGCAATTTAAAACAGTTAAAAAGGCAAAAACAACAGACGGGTTTAAAATTGGACTAAAACCGTTGCAAGTGGATGCTTGTGGGCGATTGAGCGATATATAAATTTTGTGCAATAAATCAATAACGAATAGATGAATAAGCAAAGGTTCCAATAAATAACAACTCGAGAGGGGCCTTTATTTCTTTATGTATTGCATTTATATATCAAAACGATCTCTCTCGTCTCTCCAGACTTGCACAGACATTGACGAATGCAACGATGGGAACAATGGCGGATGTGACCCCAACGCCATCTGTACCAATACAGTGGTGAGTCTGTCTAGGGTGAAGAAATGTGGTCCACCATGTGAAAACAGGCCCCAGGGACTGAAGAGGCTATGGTTACTTGCCCAGGCTGTCCTTATGCTACCGGGACTGGTTCAGGTTCTTGTATTGATTTGCAAGGCCCTGAACAATTTGGATCCAGGATACTTCAAGGATCACCTGATCCTTTATTTCCCTGCCCAATCAGGGAGCTGTTTGGGGGAGCCACTGCTAGGAGTCCACCATGCTAGGGGTCTCCCATGCCTCATATAAACGTCCACACGCTCCAACACTTTGAGGCCAAAATCCTGGACACCGTCTTCCCGGCTGCCACTTTCTCGTTTTTTAATCACAAGAGCACGGCAGCCATTTTGGTTCTTGCATTCTCATACAATTTCACACTGTGGTTTCCCCTCCTAAAAAAAGCACTTTTGGAGTGCGGCGCCCCAGAATGCATGTTTTTGGGTGCCGCACGAAGGTTGCGGCCACGAAAAAAGGATTTTTTTTTGCTGGGGGCGAGAATCACGCCACAAAATCACATGAGATCAAGGCAACCAAAATGGCAACCGTTCTCTCACAGTAAAAAAATGGGATGTTCCAGTTTTTCTGTGACACTTGGGGGCATGCACATCTTGTATCCATCAGAACTTGTGCATTTAGGAGTGTGGGTCCAATTTTGCGCAGTTCCCTTCCAGCTGAAGTCAAACAGTCCCCTTCCCTGTTGAACTTCCAGCTGAGCAGGGCTTGTGTGGGGTGAGGCCGAGGGAGAGCCCTGAGAGCATCGGAGCCAACTCCTAGGGGCCAAGGTCCCTTCGCCCCCAAAGTTGATGGGCATTGTTATTTAAATAGTGTGTGCGTGCCACATTCATTATGCAAAAGGAGGGTTGCCGGAGGGGGGAGGGGCCACATTTGGCCCCTGGGCTCAGAGTTCCTCACCCCTGCTGTATGGTAAACTATTGATTATCCCTCATATTGGAGGCTGAGAAAGAGCGGCTTGCCTAAGGCTGCTTAAGTGGGTTTGTGGGACTGGCTCTGAAGAACCCCTTTGTTCCTATTTGAACTACAGTGGTACCTCGGGTTAAGAACTTAATTCGTTCTGGAGGTCCGTTCTTAACCTGAAACTGTTCTTAACCTGAAGCACCACTTTCGCTAATGGGGGCCTCCCGCTGCTGCTGCGCTGCTGGAGCACGATTTCTGTTCTCATCCTGAAGCAAAGTTCTTAACCCGAGGTACTATTTCTGGGTTAGTGGAGTCTGTAACCTGAAGCGTATGTAACCCAAGGTACCACTGTAGTCCTTTAAAACCATGAGGACTGGAATCTTGGTTTCTTTTTGGGTGCAGGACTGTGGCTCAGTGGGAGAGCACCCTCCTTGCCTGCAGAAAAGGTCCCAGGTTCAATCCCCAACATATCCAGGTAGGGCTGGGGATATCTGCCCCTCTTGCTTAGAATCCTGGACAGCTGCTGCCAGTCAGTGTTGACACTACTGAGTTAGATGGACCAACAGTGTTCCACGTTTCTGCAAAAAAACCAACACACACAAAAAACACATTTCCTTTTCGTTTTGTTTCCCTTGGTAGGGATCCTACAAATGTGGGCCTTGCAAGTCGGGTTTTGTGGGGAACCAGAACGGGAGCTGCACCCCGCAGAAGACCTGCCAGAGCCCCAGTCACAACCCCTGCGACATCAATGGATACTGCCTCTTCGAACGCAACGGGGACGTTTCTTGCGCGGTGAGGCAAAATTGGGGCGAATGCATTTAGGGGTGCCATATTGTTGAGCTTTTTTGCCAAATTTGAAAATGATGTTTTTGAGCTATCTCCAAAACCACATTTCTTGTGATTTCCCCTGGACACTGCTTCCTAATGCAGTATTCTGGGTGTATGGCAACTCTACATACATTTAAAGTGCTATGATGCTAGTTTAAACAGGCATGGCTTCCCCCAAAGAATTCTGGGAAATGTACTTTGTTACGTGAGCTGAGAGTTGTTCGTTGTTGTTTAGTCGTTTAGTGGTGTCCAACTCTTCGTGACCCCCTGGACCAGAGCACACCAGGCACTCCTGTCTTCCACTGCCTCCCGCAGTTTGGTCAAACTCATGCTGGTAGCTTCGAGAACACTGTCCAACCGTCTCGTCCTCTGTCGTCCCCTTCTCCTTGTGCCCTCCAACTTTCCCAACATCAGGGACTTTTCCAGGGAGTCTTCTCTTCTCACGAGGTGGCCAAAGTACTGGAGCCTCAGCTTCAGGATCTGTCCTTCCAGTGAGCACTCAGGGCTGATTTCCTTCAGAATGGAGAGGTTTGATCTTTTTGCAGTCCATGGGACTCTCAAGAGTTATTAGGAAGTCCCTATTCCCCTCACAGAACTACAAATACCAGCATTCCCTAGAAGAAGGATTGTGTGTTAAACCACTCTGGGAATTGTAGCCCAGTGAAGGGAATAGGGGTCTCCCTACAACTCTCAGCAACCTTAACAAACTGCACCTTCCAGAATTCTCTGCGGGATGCCATGGTAGTTCAAAGGGTCATCCTAGTGCTTCAAATGTATGGTGTGGACTTGCAAGTTGCCCCTGCTTTCCATTGGCTCTGGCGCCACCTACTGTTGGTCTTCCATCTTGCCACCATTGCAAAGCGGCCAAGAGACTTCTCTCGCACAACACAAATCAATCTGCCTCCTTTCCCCCAGCTCTGCAGTGTCTTTTTTTTTTGAGTTGGAACTGATCCTGTGTTCGTACAAATTCCATTCTACACCTTGCAGTCATGGGCATCTACAGGGTTTTCCCCTGGAGGGGACAGGGGACGGGGTGTGTGGAAAAGTAAAACACAGAAAAGAGGGAGCAGGCTAATTGTTTCTACCCCACCTCCAAATTAGAAGAATCCATACATTTTATTTATCTACTTATTTACTGCAGTTATATCCCACCTTTTCTCCAAGGGGTTCAAGGGGGCGGGTATACTTCTGTTCCCTATTTTATCCTCACAACAACCCTGTGAGGTAGGTTAGGCTGGGAGTCAGGAGTAATAATAATAATAATAATAATAATAATTTATTTATACCCCACCATCTGGCTGGGCTTCCCCAGCCACTCTGGGCGGCTTCCAACAAAATATTAGAATACAGTAATGCATCAAACATTAAAAGCTTCCCTAAACAAGGCTGCCTTCAGATGTCTTCTAAAAGTCTGGTAGTTATTTTTCTCTTTGACATCTGGTGGGAGGGCGTTCCACAGGGTGGGTGCCACTACCGAGAAGGCCCTCTGCCTGGTTCCCTGTAACTTGGCTTCTCGCAATGAGGGAACCACCAGAAGGCCCTCGGAGCTGGACCTCATTGTCCGGGTAGAACGATGGGGGTGGAGACGCTCCTTCAGATATACGGGATCGAGGCCGTTTAGGGCTTTAAAGGTCAGCACCAACACTTTGAATTGTGCTCGGAAACATACTGGGAGCCAATATAGGTCTTTCAAGACCTTGGTTATGTGGTCTCGGCGGCTGCTCCCAGTCACCAGTCTAGCTGCCGCATTCTGGATTAGTTGTAGTTTCCGGGTCACCCAATGAGGTCACCCAATGAGCTTCATGACCTGGTAGGGGTTTCTCAGGTCCTAGTCCTGCACTCTAACCACTGCACCACACTGCCTTTTTGCCTTGTACCTCAGGTTCTACGATTTCTAGAAGCTAGCTCTTCTTTTCAATGAAGGCTGAAATCGACAGATTATTATTATTCATATGAGGCGGGGGGCAAATGTCCCCACACCCCCAACTTGCAGACAGTCGGGGACAATGGGGGGTGATACCTGTAGTACCAGTTGTTGCAAAAATATTGTTTCCTCTTTGCCTTCCCAGTGCAGCGTGGGTTGGGCTGGGAACGGCAATGTGTGCGGACGCGACACCGACATCGATGGCTACCCAGACGAGCCTTTGCCCTGCATTGATAACAACAAGCACTGCTCCAAGGTAAGATGTGGCGGCAGGAGGAACCAAAGGGCCTATCGATGGCTACTAGCCACGTTGGCTATACTCTGCCTCCACAGTCTGAGAGAGTAATGCTTCTGAATACCAGTTCCTGGAAAACACAGGAGGGGTGAGTGCTGTTATATGTGTCTTAAAGGTAAAGGGACCCCTGACCATTAGGTCCAGTCGTGGCCGACTCTGGGGTTGCGGCGCTCATCTCGCTTTATTGGCCAAGGGAGCCAGCGTACAGCTTCCGGGTCATATGGCCAGCATGATTAAGCCGCTTCTGGCGAACCAGAGCAGTGCACGGAAACACCGTTTACCTTCCCGCTGGAGCGGTACCTCTTTATCTACTTGCACTTTGACGTGCTTTCGAACTGCTAGGTCGGCAGGAGCAGGGACCGAGCAACGGGAGCTCACCCAATCGCAGGGATTCGAACCGCCGACCTTCTGATCGGCAAGTCCTAGGCTCTGTGGTTTAACCCACAGCACCACCCGCGTCCCATATATATGTGTGTCTTATATATATATTTAATCAAAGTATTTCTCTCCTGACATATCTTCCTATATACATAAAAATGTAAGCCTGTCATCATGCAGCTGCTGTTGGAGAATTAAAACCCCATTTAAATCATCCCTTTCTTCAGAAACATGAGGACTGAAATCATAGAATTATGTTTTAAGGGAAAAGCTATAGCTCAGGGGTAGAGTTTGTGCTATGTGTGCAGGATGTGGCAGGTTTGGTCGCTGGCATCTCCACCGAGGACTGGGGAAAACCTATGTCGGAAACCCTGAACAGTCGCAGCCGGTTAGGGATTTCTTCTGACTTGTCCCACCCTCCACCTTGCCCCTTTTCACGCAGGACAACTGCCGGCTTACGCCGAACTCGGGTCAAGAGGATGCTGACAACGATGGCATTGGGGACCAGTGTGACGACGACGCAGATGGCGATGGGATCAAGAACGTGGAGGTAGGCCCAAGCGCAACTTCCCACTCAGGCTGGATGTATCGGACAAGAGTGAGGGTAGGGAACCTTTTCTGGACAAGGACCACATTACACTCATGGGCAACCTCCCTGGGGCCGCATACCAAGCTGGGTGCAGCCAGAGACGCACCCCACTCTCCATCCTCCCATCTAGGCAAGCACAAGGTATTATCCCAGTCCAAGTACTTGTTCCAACTAGGTAGAACCAAAGGGGATGGGCAGCTTTTAATGTTTAATAGACTATTGTATTTTAATATTTTGTTGGAAGCCGCCCAGAGTGGCTGGGGAAACCCAGCCAGATGGGCAGGGTATAAATTATTATTATTATTATTATTATTATTATTATTATTATTTATTGTGCAGAGGAAGGCTGGTGAAGGGTGTGGCCAGGGAAAAGGGAGTGTGGCTGGATCAGAGGACCATGGGTCAGACAGAGAGGGCAATTGGGCCCTGGGCCTGAGGCGTCCCATCCCGAGAAGCATTAAGGATATAGGCTCTTAGACCTTCTTATCCCATATACAACACTCCCCTATTTCTAGCCCCTTTGCAAAGGATCAGACCACACACTGCAAAGTATGTTTAGAACGCTTTACTTACAGATTCAAGGTCTCAGTCATGCTTTGTTCCATGCAGCAGCAAGGATAACGCAGGCAAAATGCTCTTGGGTAGAAAATGCAGAATATAGTTCCAAACACATGCTGCAAACTTGGGAGCGAGCTCACACATGTCTGTCTTGGTGGACTGCATGATGAGAGAGAGGGGGGGAGTAGAAAGTCTCCGTCTCCAGAGGAGAGGGGGCGTGACCTAGCTGAGTCTATCTAGCAGTGCAACTCTGTGGTTGTTTACCCCCTTCATGCACTAACTAACAGCAACGCATAGTTATGTTTGACTGCAACCTTCCACAAAAGGAACATCAGGAAACGGGGCAGAAGAACCAGCACTGCAATCAGGAAAGCTCAGGCGATGTTCCCCATGTCTGAATTCACCTTTTTCTCTCTCTTGTGCCCTGGTCATAGGACAACTGCCGTCTCTTCCCCAATAAAGACCAGCAGAATTCAGACACAGATTCCTTTGGGGATGCTTGTGATAACTGCCCCAACGTACCCAACAATGACCAGAAAGACACAGACGGCAACGGGGAAGGGGACGCTTGCGACAATGACATCGACGGCGACGGTGAGTGGAAAGGTCAAATCCTGGTAGAGTTCGTATGGCTGGCTTTGTCATACAGGTGGAGCCAGCACCCACCAAAGCTAAGGACAGACGGATGAGTCTTCTTTCCATTCCATGCCCATTTTTGCATTCATTCAGTCATAGTTCTGTCCTGTCCTGTTTTCTGAGGTTTAAGAAATATGTAAGCCCTCCCCAAAAGGGGAAATAACACTTATTTATTTCCTTCAGGTCTTTGTACACCACCCTTTAGCCAAAAAAGGATCTCCTAGAGTGGTTTCCAAAGATCAATATTAAGATTGCATTCAAAGAAAATGCACAGCACATGAGGAAAAGGGAATGGGAGGGAGGAGGAAAGGCCAAGCCCAGGCACAGGTTTCTCAGGTTACGGTTTTTATAACACAGTTAATATGTCTGATCTGAGAAAAGAAATTTAACATCCAGTACAGAAGCATGACAACACACGCTCTAAGGATGTTTTTTTTTTTAATTAAAAAAAAAAGCTATTGGGAAGCAATTCAACTTAGCGTATTTTTTGCTCTATAAGACTCACGTTTTCCCTCCTAAAAAGTAAGGGGAAATGTGTGTGCGTCTTATGGAGCGAATGCAGGCTGTGCAGCTATCCCAGAAGCTAGAACAGCAAGAGGGATTGCTGCTTTCACTGTGCAGCGATCCCTCTTGCTGTTCTGGCTTCTGAGATTCAGAATATTTTTTTTCTTGTTTTCCTCCTCCAAAAACTAGGTGCGTCTTGTGGTCTGGTGCCTCTTATAGAGCGAAAAATATGGTAATTAATTGTACCCTGGAGAGCTGCTGCCTATCAGTGTAGACAACACTAAGCTAGATGTACTCGGTTTAAGGCACTTTCCTGTGCTCCTATGAAACAGCCCCTTTCCCCCTCTCCCATTCCCTAGGAATTCCCAATGGGCTTGACAATTGCCCCAAAGTGCCCAATCCACTGCAGACGGATCGCGACGAAGACGGCGTGGGAGACGCCTGCGACAGTTGTCCTGAGATCAGCAACCCCACTCAGGTATGAGCGTTGTAACATCCTACAGTTCCCGGGATCCTCAGGCAGTGGTGTCCAAACTATTTTCAAAGAGGGCCAGATTTGACGGTGAAGGGCCGTGAGGGCCAACCAAACGGCCGACCAAAGTTGTTAACCTTTTTTTAGGATTGAAGTTGTTGAGGGTTTTTTTTTTAGGATTTTTACCCTAGGAAATAAACTGCCACAGGGGCCGGATTAAACTGACCGGCAGGCCGGATTGGGCACCCTAAACGGACTTTGGACATGCCTGCAGTTTAGGGGAAGCCATGGCGATTAAAATGACATCATCATGCTTTAAATTTGCGGTGAAGATGAGAGGGGCGTTTGCGTGTGACTCCAGGGATGCTCGTTTGCTTACTCACCTGAGGCCATGCTCTCTTTCAGACAGATGCGGACAGCGACCTGGTGGGTGACGTCTGCGACACGAATGTGGACAGGTGAGGAAAAAGCAAAACAAAAACCCAAACCTAAAACCCGCGAAAGTGCATGATCTCAAAATCTATATTGTCTATTTGTCCTTCTATGTATTCAGATACCTGTTAAGATATCATTACCAATTTGGCATGATGGCCCCTGATATCAAGGAGCAGGTTTGGGTCTATGTTTGGACCCCATTTTGAATCAATTTGGTATTTTGAATTCACTGCTATTTTCCCAGTGCTATTTTTCTAGAAAAAGAGATACTTCGGCCCAGTATACCTGAAGGAGCATCTCCACCCCGGTTGTTCAACCCAGACACTGAGGTCCATCTCCAAGGGCCTTCTGGCAATGTGAGGTTGCAGGGAACCAGGCACAGGGCCTTATTGGTAGTGGCACCTGCCCTCAGATGTCAAGGAAATAAATAACTGTACAACTGAAAGCAGCACCGAAGATTTTAATGTTCTATGTTTTATCATATCATTTTATCATATATCTATATACTGGAAGCCGCTCAGAGTGGCTGGCGCAACCCAGTCAGATGGACAGGGTACAAATAATAAAACTGTTGTTGTTGTTCAGTGATGGCGACGGTCACCAGGACACGAAAGACAACTGTGCAGAGATCCCCAACAGCTCCCAGCTCGATTCAGACAACGACGGGCTGGGAGACGAGTGTGACAATGACGACGACAACGACGGGATCCCCGATTATGTGCCCCCGGGCCCTGACAACTGCCGTCTCGTCCCTAATCCCAACCAGAAGGATTCTGATGGTGAGCGCAGGATAATTGAAAGTGGAATCCGTTCAGAATTCTTTACGTCAATGGCACCAGCTACAAAATGGCTGCTGTGGCATTTGGGGGGGGGTATGGCACGACACAAAATGGATGCCCTGCTATGTGGCGTAGCGCAAAATGGCTGCCGCACCTCGGAGAACAGAAAAAGAGACAGGACCACAAAATTGTGAGGGGATGTCCATTCAGTGCGTGAAAAGGCACCTACATCCACCGCCCCTGGTCTCGCTCGCAGAAAGAAGCTCTTTACACCTCTCCTTTGTACAGAACAGAGACAACATCTGTTTACTGAGACCTTTTTGAGGCACCATAGGAGGAGGAGTGTGTCACACTGGCGGTCCCCAGACTGCCTCCTTCTCAAAGAGTAGTGCCTTGAAGGGAGCACACAGAATTGCAGATGAAATTGGACTTATTAGACCTGTGGATGTGGCTAGACTCCAGCTCCCATCAGCCCCGGCCAGCAGGGCCAATGGTCAGGGATGATGGGAGTTGTAGTGACGTCTAGAGAGCCACAGGTTCACCACCCATCTCACATCCTACCTCACAGGGTTGTTGTGAAGATTGAAACAGAATATTGGGGAGGGGGAGAACCTTATACGATACCCCAAACTAAGATCATTGCTCACTTCCCCACTCAGATCATGAACACCACAACCAAGGCAGGCCAGAGGTTGCAGGTCTCCAGCTCCTTCAGCCATCGGGGTTAATGGGAACTGGAGTCCAGCAACATCTGGGGAGATCCAGGCTCCCCACTCCTGTCCTAGACCAGTCATGCCCCAACCAATCAGGAATCCCATATCCAATGCACTTAAAGGTAAAGGGACCCTTGACCATTAGGCCCAGTCGCAGACGACTCTGGGATTGTGGCGCTCATCTCGCTTTATTGGCCGAGGGAGCCGGCGTACAGCTTCCGGGTCATGTGGCCAACATGACTAAGCCGCTTCTGGCAAACCAGAGCAGCGCATGGAAATGCCGTTTACCTTCCCGCCGGAGCGGTACCTATTTATCTATTTGCACTTTGACGTGCTTTCGAACTGCTAGGTTGGCAGGAGCAGGGACCGAGCAATGGGAGCTCACCCCGTTGCGGGGATTCGAACCGCCGACCTTCTGATCAGCAAGTCCTAGGCTCTGTGGTTTAACCCACAGCGCCCCCCGCGTCCCTTATCCAATGCACTTACAGAGGTATAAAGCAGGGATGGGGAACCCCTGGCCCTCCAGATGTTGTTGGACACCAACTCCCATCAGCCCCAGCCAGCATGACCAGTGGTCAGGGATGATGGGGGGTGTAGTCCATCTGGAGGACCACATTTCCCCCACGCCTGATAGGTATGAATATGGCGAAACATCTTCCAACGTGCTTTAGTGGCTGGGCCTTCACCATCTTTTGCTCTTCGCACAGGCAATGGCGTAGGGGATGTGTGCGAGGAGGACTTTGACAACGACACGGTGGCTGACCCACTGGATGTCTGCCCGGAGAGCTCCGAGGTGACGCTGACCGACTTCCGTGCGTACCAGACGGTCATCCTGGATCCCGAGGGCGACGCCCAGATCGATCCCAATTGGGTGGTTCTCAATCAGGTACGGCAAGGGAGCTGGGAAGATGCTGCAGGCTTCGGAGGCGAAATAAACCCAATTGGTTCCATGGGCAAAAGGGGGAAGGGTCAGTAAATCTTGGTGCATATTGGTGAGCCACTGGGTAGAGAAGACCTTAGTCTTTGCACAGTGCAGGATAAGCCCCCGTTGAAAAACTTCAAAGGCCTTTGGGGTTCATTGGGGACGAGTAGACAAGTGGTCATGTTGCCTATCAGGCTTGGTTCCTGGGGGTCAAGTGCCACAGGGACATAGGAAGATGCCCTCTACCGAATCTGGTCTTTAAAGGGCTCTAACCACTGAGCTATGGCCCTTCTCTCGGTGCTTGGGTGCTAGATGCAAAACCCCAGGGGTCAGTCTGGGCAGCTGCCTTGCCCTTTGCTTATACTCGACCGTCTCGTCACCACCCTTTCCTTCTCTCTTTTTTCTTCCCAACCTCCAGGGCATGGAGATTGTACAGACGATGAACAGTGACCCAGGCTTGGCTGTCGGTAAGAGGAATATACAGTATTTTTTGCTCCATAAGGCGCACCGGACCATAAGGCACACCTAGAGGGGGAAATCAAGGGGAAAAAATATTATTTCCCCCTGGGAGAAGCGCGCAGCCTGTCCGCTTCTCCCAGAGCTTCTCGGGGCTGCCGGGGGAAGCCCGGATTCCCCTCCCCAGCCCCAAAGAGCAAAGAAGCCAAGACAGCGAGTGGGATCCATCTTCCTCTTTAGTTGTGCGCAACCTCTCCAGCCAGGCTATGGCAATTCCCCCACCTCCCGCAAAAGCCCACAGGAGCCGCGCACCCTTTAAGGAGCGTGTGGCTCCTGTGTGCTTTTCTACAAGGAGGGAGACTGGCCTCGTCAGTCCCTTCTCCCTCCTGGGGAAAAACCCGCAAGAGCCGCGCGGAGCTTGTGTGCGGCTCCTGGGGGCTTATCCTGCCTGCCTCCCCCCTGCATTCGCTCCATAAGACGCACACACATTTCCCCTTACTCTTTAGGAGCGAAAAATACGGTAAACATACTCGGCCGCCAATGATTCTTTGCTGCACTCAAACCATACAGTTAAAGCACTACGAAACTGCTTGAAACGGCCATGGCTTTCGCCCAGGAATTCTGGGGCCTGTGATTTGTTATGGGTGCCAAGGGAGAGGAGACCCTGCTATTCCCCTCGCAGAGCTACAATTCCCAGAGCGGTTTAACAACCAATCCCTCTGCCCAGAGAACTCTGGGAATTGTAGCTCTTTGAGGGAAATGGGGGGTCTCCTAACATTTCTCAGCACTCTTCACAAACGATAGTTCCCAGAATCCCTTGGGGGAAGCCATGACTGTTCGAAGCGATATCATGGCGCTTGAAGCCTATGGTCGGAGTGTGGCCTAGCCACTGTTCTTCAGGGTTTCAAGCAAGCAGAGAAAAATACTTCCCATCGCCTGTGCCCACCAGTCCCTTCCTCTATCTCAGCGAGACGGCCGCTAACTCTTTTCTCCTCTCTCTAACCACGGGGCAGGGTACACAGCCTTCAACGGGGTGGACTTTGAAGGCACCTTCCACGTCAACACCATCACCGACGACGACTACGCCGGCTTCATCTTCGCCTACCAGGACAGCGCCAGTTTCTACGTGGTCATGTGGAAGCAGACGGAGCAGACCTACTGGCAGGCTACGCCCTTCCGCGCCACGGCTGAGCCGAGCTTGCAGCTCAAAGTGAGTGCCATACTCTTCAAGTGTTCCTCTTTTCCAGGGACAGTCCCAGAATTACGAAAGCCACCACAGCTTCTGATTTGATCCTGAAATGCCCAGGATTATGCTACCTTCTGAGATTATAAGTGATCTTAATCATTACTTTATACAGTGGTACCTCGGGTTACATACGCTTCAGGCTACAGACTCCGCTAACCCAGAAATAATACCTCGGGTTAAGAACTTTGCTTCAGGATGAGAACAGAAATCGTGCAGTGGCAGTGGGAGGCCCCATTAGCTAAAGTGGTGCTTCAGGTTAAGAACAGTTTCAGGTTAAGAACGGACCTCCAGAACAAATTAAGTTCTTAACCCGAGGTACCACTGTATAATTATACGATAATGATAACCAATGAGACATAATAATAATCAAGGTGGATGTTGCCTATTAACATGAAGCATTTATTTATACGCTAGTTTGTTTCTTTATATAACATCGGCTTATTTTTATTTATTCCTATTCCTTCTTGATTTATCATTGTCAACACATTGCTGTTCATTAAATTAAGTAACCTTTAATATTTGCTATTAGGTAATAAATTCTGATCACGCACTTCCGTCAAGAGCTGACCTCCTCAAGTTTAGGTTTTGAAGCAAAGGCTGATAGATTAAAAAAAATATTAATGTATGATTGATTATTCATTACTACATCCTAAGCACACCCTTCCTTCCAAAGCTCAGCTGCTCAAGCTGAGGTTTTGAAATGAATGCTGGCCCATCTAAATTTATTCAATGATTAACTCACATGTTTCATGTAGAACCCAGCCCTTCTGCCAGGGAGCCTGGGATGCTATACATGCCTCTGCTTGCAATAAAATTATGCTCATGACGACCCTGTGAGGGAGGTCACGTGGTGATGCACGTGACCGATATACTTTCATATAATTTTGTTTGTTAAGGGTGCTGAGAGTTGTTAGGAGAGATGCCCCCCCCCCACAAAGAACCCTTTTATTTGGTTTTTCAGATTGAAATTTTACAGTCACATGTGCAACATACAACATAAAAACAAGATTCCAAGGAATCTCTTGGACTTCCCTCCTCCCCTTTGTGGGTCCTATTGTTAATCATTCCCGGCTGCATTTTTTTTTAAATAATCCAAATCATTTACCTCTCCATTGTGTCCAAAATGATATATCAATAGTATCTAACACCAAGTAAATGGGCAAAAATGTATAAATCTAAATCAAACAAATGCTGGAAATGTAAAGAGAAAGAAGGTTCTTTTTATCATATGTCAGGGATCAGCAAACTTTTTTAGCAGGGGGCCGGTTCACTGTCCCTCAGACGTTGTCGGGGCGGACTATATTTTTTTGGGGGGGTGGGAAATGATCAAATTCTTATGCCCCACAAATAACCCAGATATGCATTTTAAATAAAAGAACACATTCTACTCATGTAAAAATCCGCAGGCCAGATTTAGAAGGCGATTGGGCCAGATCCGGCCCCCGGGCCTTAGTTTGCCTACCCGTGTCATATGTGGTGGTCTTGTAGTAAGGTTAAAACTTACTGGGAAATGATATATAATGAATTGAAAAGGATGTTCAAAATAACTTTGATCAAAAACCCCAGAAGCTTTTCTTTTGGGAATTATAGGGAAAGAACTACCTAAATTGTATAAAATTCACCATTAAAATACCGGTGATATTCCAAACCTACTGACGGTTTTAACTGTTTAAGATAAGTTATAAATTTTCCCCATTCCTTATTAAAATTTTGATCTTCCTGATTTCTGATTTTTCACTCATTTTTAGCCATTTCAGCATAATCCATCAACGTCATCTGGGGACTGCAGTGTTGAGACTTGCTGGAAGACCTCCGTTTCCCTTCCAGAGCTACGGAGTGGTTTAACAACCGATCCTCCTTTCCGGGGAGCTCTTGGGAACTGTAAGGGCAACAGGGAGGTCTCCCAGCCACTCTCAGCAGCCTTAACAAACTACAGCTCCCAGAATTCTCTGCAGGGAGGGCTGGCAATGCAGTTTAAAGTGGTATCATAGCGCTTCAAAGGTATGGTGCGAACGAGTCTTGCTGAAGCAGAAACCAGCTTGGCTTCTGCAAGGCCTAATATTTTCTCTCCTGGCTGAAATGATGCGTGCTGTTTCTCCTGCTCCCCACAACCCCTCTCCTTGCTGGCAGGCGGTGAAGTCTAGCACCGGTCCCGGAGAATACCTGCGGAACGCCTTGTGGCACACGGGCCACACCCCCGACCACGTCCGCCTGCTCTGGAAGGACCCCCGCAACGTGGGCTGGAAGGACAAGACCTCTTACCGCTTGCGGCTCCTCCATCGGCCCCAAGTGGGCTACATCAGGTGAGGTGTGGGGCTGCAGCGGTCGCTTCAGCGGTGAGGGGGCAGATTGACAAGGGCAGTTTCATGACGGGAACAGCCAAGCACCCTTCTGACATTATGCTACCTTCTGAGATTAGAAGTCATCTTAATCATTATCTTATATAATTAGGCGATAATGAAAACTAAGGAGGCATAATACAGTGGTACCTCTGGATGCGAATGAGATCCGTTCCGGAGCCCCGTTCGCATCCTGAAGCGAACGCAACCCACGTCTGCACGTGCTGCAATTCACCGCTTCTGCACATGCGCGTGACGTCGTTTTGACCGTCTGCGCACGCGCGAGCGGCGAAACCCGGAAGTAATGCACTCCATTACTTCCGGGTCGCCACAGTGCGCAACCCAAAAATACTTATCCCGAAGCTACTTCAACCCGAGGTATGACTGTAATAGTTAAGGTGGACGTTGCCTCCTAACCTTAAGCATTTATTTATTTATTTATTTGCTTACTTACTTACTTACTATTCCATCTTGACTTATCATTGTCAATACATTACTGTTAATTAAATTAAGTAACCTTTAATATTTATTACTAGCTAGCTAATAAATTCTGATCACACACTTCCGCCAAGAGCTGACCTCCTCAACTTTAGGTTTTCGAGCGAAGGCTAGGCTGATTGAACAACGTTTGTCATTAATGTACCATATTGGCCCGAATATAAGCCGCACCCAGATATAAGCCGCACTTTTAAAATTCACGGGGGGGGGAGAGAAAAAGTTAATACCTGAATATAAGCCACTCCTTTAAAATCCTACAGGCACTCACACCTGTTCCATTTTACCGTGTGCCTCTTTCAGCAGTGATATCGTAAAAAAGCCAATTTTTGTAAGGCCACGAATTTAAACCGCACTTTAACTTTTCATGGTTGGAATTTGGAAAAAACGTGTGACTTATATTCAGGCCAGTAAGGTATTATTGATTGATTATTACATCCTAAGCACACCCTTCCTTCAAAAGCTCACCTCCTCAAGTTGAGGTTTTGAAATGAATGCTGGCCCATCTAAATTTATTCAATGATTAACTCACATGTTTCATGTAGAACCCAGCCCTTCTGCCAGGGAGCCTGGGATGCCTCCCTTGCGATAAAATTATCCTCACAACGACCCTGTGAGGGAGGTCACGTGGCGATGCATAGCCCACCCAGTGAGCAAGGGACTTGTAGATGCCCCTCAGTCTGTGTCTGATGTGCTGTTCACTATCCTGCACTATTTTCAGGGGTGACTAATACGTTGTTTTTTACTAATATTTTATGGAAAGAATTTCAGTTACAGAAAATAAAGCGATGAAAGAAAGAAGAGAGACAGAAAAAAGTACAAAAAATACAGAAAGAAAGAAAGAAATAGTACACTAAATATAATCAGTTACTCTTCCATACATTAATATATATATATATATATCATATATGATTTTTAATAGTCTACTATGTTTAGCATGGGACGCGGGTGGCGCTGTGGGTTAAACCACAGAGCCTAGGACTTGCTGATCAGAAGGTCGGCGGTTCGAATCCCTGCGACGGGGTGAGCTCCCGTTGCTCAGTCCCTGCTCCTGCCCACCTAGCAATTCGAAAGCACGTCAAAAGTGCAAGTAGATAAATAGGTACCGCTCCAGTGGGAAGGTAAACGGCGTTTCCGTGCGCTGCTCTGGTTCGGCAGAAGTGGCTTAGTCATGCTGGCCACATGACCCGGAAGCTGTACGCCGGCTCCCTTGGCCAATAAAGCGAGATGAGCGCCGCAACCCCAGAGTCGGCCACGACTGGACCTAATGGTCAGGGGTCCCTTTACCTATGTACAGCATAAACTCATACCAAATGTCATTATATTTGTCCAAACAAAGTCTGCAACTATAAGCAATCCATTCATATATTGCAAGTGTTGTTTGATATGTTAAAAGTACATCTCAGCCTTCCTTTAGCTTGTGCAGTTTGGCTTGCTCGCTCGACCTCTCTAGAGTGGCAAAGGATAATTTGTAGATTGAGGGAGGGGACTATGAATCTGTTGGATTGAGTGTAAGAGGGAGATAGTAAAAAGGCTGGGGGGGGTTGAATACTTCTCTTTCCCCACCACCGCCAGCCTCCCCTCTCCCAGCTGCCGTAGAGTCTGAGCCGTTCCTTGTTTAACAATGTGGCCGGTCTTCTGTGTGTGTGTGTGTGTGTGTGTGTGTGTGTGTGTGTATAAAGGGGGGGGTGGCTCATTCCACTGGGAACGAGTTCACCCCCACCCCCTCCACTCCCTTCCCCAAGAACCATTCACTGGATGGGCCCCAAGGCCCATTGTCTGGTTCACCATGGCAACCCGAGTCTGGGTGGAATGCTTTTGGCCCTCAGCAGACCTTTTTAAAATGCAAAAAAAAAGGGAGAAAAGAAGTCTGGACAATGGGGAAAGGTGGCGGGGGGCAATCCTGCGGAGAATAGGGCAGAGCGGGAGGAGGAGGAATGAAGCCTGGGAACTTTCTCCCCCCCCTCCTTTGCGGAAAGAGCAGGAAAAGAGTGGGGGGGACGACATCTCCCCATCTCTCCACTGCAACTCCACCACCCGGCCTCTGCCCCCCCCCCCGCACCTTGAATCGGACTAGATCCCTAGATCTCTGTAGACCCTCAAAACACGCCAACTTTTGACAAGAGGCAAAGAGGCCTTATGATGGCTTGCGCGGTTATGGTGGCTTGGAAGGAACATGTCCCCTAACGTCCTTTGGACGTCCTGGGCACTTCAGAGTAGCGCTGTCTTTACTCAGAGTAAAGGGTCCAGCTTTAGTTATGTTTCTGAATGCCGGCCATTGGGATCCACAGAAGATGAAGGCGCTCTTGTGCTCAGGTACTGCTGAATTCAGTCTGCCGATTTTGCTGTTTCCAAAACAACGTGTGAAACAAAACCCAGCCACCCTGTGAAATTCCTCTGAATTTTGCAATGCTGTCCCCCAGCCAAATACCAGGAACGAGAATGAATATACAGTGGTACCTCAGTTTTTGAAAATCGAAAAACGGAAGCCTCCTTATGGAAAACTCAGAAAGGAAGCCACGTTTCCTGTTCGACTTCCGAGGCGTGTTTGAAAACCGAGGTGCTTACTTCCAGGTTTTCGGCGTTTGAGTTCCGAAACGTTTGACTACAGAGGCGTTTGAAAAACGAGGTATCACTGCACTGTGGTAAATAGGGACCTGCCTTGTTTCTGTGACAGCAAGTTGTTTTAAACTGTTTCTAATATTGTGTTTTAACATGCCCTGGGACCTTAGAATTAAGGGCGGGTCACCCTGAAATGGGGACAACCTGAAGTGGCGGCCTCACCATTCTCTAGACGGGACACAATGCTTCTGTTATAAGCAGTTTTTACCCCTCTCTCCATTTAGAAAGGGCCCCAGAGCAACCTGCGTGAGATTGATAAAAGTAAGGCATTCCCTGACCCTCAGGCTTGCCATGTGAAAGGTACAACACAAGAGGAGAAGGGGCTGAGGAGGGAAGAGGAAAACTCCAGGTGCCAGTCCTTACAATAGCTGAGCCCAAAGGTGGAGTGGGTCTTCCATCCAGTCTTTCTCAATATTCAGCAGCTGGGAGAGATGGGCTGTTGCAAGATAAGAGCTGAGGAAGGCTCAGGGTTGTCTAAGACAGGGACGACTATCCCAGTCCACTCATGTGTGTGCCGGCCCTGGGCTTTGCGACCTTCCCTGCTTCAAAACCATCCTTGCAAGTCGGCTGCCATTCATCTACCTTCTTTCTTCTCCTGATCATCGTGACACCCCCCCCCAACAAGGACTTTCCACGCACCTGACCCCCTCCTGTCTCCCCCTCACAGGGTGCTGCTTTACGAGGGACCCCAGCTGGTGGCCGACTCGGGCGTCATCATTGACACGACGATGCGAGGGGGCCGCTTGGGGGTCTTTTGCTTCTCCCAGGAGAACATCATCTGGTCCAACCTGCAGTATCGCTGCAACGGTCAGCTGTGGGACAATTCGGGGTGGTTCAAAGCAGGGCTTCGCTCACCTGAGCTAGGCCTCATTCTCCTGGACCCGGGTGGGGGGTGGGATTTCCATGGAGGTCTTTCCCACCAGATCAGAGTGGGGGGGGTAGTATCCCCTCTGCCCTCCCCAAATAGTTGAGCCTGTTCTGGGGGAAATGACAGGATGCTGAAATTCTATATACCAGGTGGAGACAAAGGCAAAATTTGATTCAGTTTGCATTTAAAGCCATGCTTGAAAAGTTGTGCTTTTCTGAATTTTGCAATGCAGTTATCCAACCGGTGCTTACCAGGAAATGCACGTTAGGTAAAAGTATACATCGAAAATGAATATGTTGGTTCAAATAACATAGAAAAGGGGTTTGTATTAGGAGAAATGGCATGCATGATTGTGTGCATTGATCAAAATGTGTTCTTCATGAGAAATTCACACTAAAATGCAGAAGACTTTCATGAGGATTAAAAACCCCCCTCAAAAAAATCTGAATTTAACAAGGAGAAGATGAAGAGCAACAGAATCAACAGATCCTTCCATCATCAGGGATTGGGGCCCTCCAGATGTTGATGAACTCCCAACGCCCATCAGCCCCATGATGATGGGAGTTGTAGTTCAGGAATATTTGGAGGACCACAGGGTTCTTCACCCCTTTCCTAGACCCGTGTCCCAACCTATCAGGGATCACATATTCAATACATTTACAGATGTGTAAAGGAGGGCTGAGGAGCACGTGCCCCTCTAGATGGACTCCCGTCTCCCATCTCCCCTCACTGTTGGGCATGCTGGCTGGAGGCTGATGGGAGCTGGAGTGCAACAACATCTGGGAAGCCACAGATGTTCTCCAGAGCTCTGCTTTCCATAGGTCCAATGCAAAACCTTGACTATGATGTTTCCACTCTACCTAATACACTCTCTCTCTTTCTCCCCTCTCTCTGTAGATACCATCCCTGTGGACTTTGAGCCGTTCCGCCGGATCTTACTGGAAGGGGCTTGAACTAAGGTTGAACTAAGGGCTCAGCGCCCGTCCTAGAAGTGGGCATCATTTCAGACCCCCATACACAACACACACACACACACACACACACACAATGGACTGGAAAACTAGCAGACCTCACCCCATAAGCTTCTGGAAACCCCCAGGAGTTTGCTGGCCGCAGTCTCTTCCGTGGGGTTCTCAAGATTCCTTGGCTACAGGGACCAGCAAAGGGTTCTGGGCCAGCAAGGGCCCAGCCAATCAGAGAGGGTGGCGACGAAGCAAACTCCCACTATGTCCCGTCTTTTGCTGTCTTCATTTTGGGAAACGATTTGTCCATAAAAGTTCTGGCTGTTTTTCTAACTTCTTGCTCCTCTTGTTGTTTGGTGAGGGCACTGGTGGGTGGGTGGGGTCCCAAATAGTAGAAGACTTAGTTTTCTCAGTGTTTCACCTTCAAAGGAATCGTCTTTCAGCGAGGGAATGAGGGAGCCAGATATTTAAACAGCTGCTTTATACCACTATGACATCCTTTTCTTTTCTGCACCCATAAAGAATTCTGGGTTGAGAAGTCTTTGTTAAAAGAAGCCTCACTTCCCCATTCGACCTCAGAGAGGACTAGAATCCCCAGAGTTTACTGGGAATCATAGAGAGTTGGAAGGGACCCCGAGGGTCATCTAGTCCAACCCCCTGCAATGCAGGAATCTTTTGCCCAACGTGGGGCTTGAACCCACTGAGATTAAGAGCTTACCGACTGAGCTATGCTTCGTGGATCAATAGCTATTAAAACAGCTGACCTTTATGTGGATCTTAATTTCACATATATGCCCATAGGTTGCTGACCCTGGGATTGTAGTGGATGGAATCGATCACACCACTGTGAGGCAGCTACGAAAAGACAAAATTCAATGCTGGGGATTATTAGGAAAGGAATGAAACTACCGATATTGCAATGCTGTTATACAAATCTATGGTGCGGCTGCATTTGGAATATCGTGTAGGGTTCTGGTCAGCTCTCCTCCAAAAGGATATTGTAGAACGAGAAAAAGATTCAGAAAAGGGCAACCGAAATGCTCAAGGGACTGGAGTTATGAGGAAAGATGGCAGCGTTTTTAAGTTTAGAGAAAAGTAAGAGGGTGACATGACTGAAATTTATAAAATTAGGCACAAATGGAAAAGGGGATGGAGAACAGCTTTTCTCCCCCTGCTGTAGCCTTAGAGCTTGTGGGCATCCGGTGGAGATGATCCTTGAAAGATTCAGGACAGAGGAAAGGAAGTTCTTCACAGAGCAGATAGTTAAATGTGGATTAGACAAATTCATGGAGGATCAAGCTATCAGCCACCAGACTCAATGGCTGTGCTCTGCCTCCACTTTCAGAAACAGCATTTCTTTGGATAACAGTTCCTGGGAATCTGGGGAGGGCAGAATACTGTTGTGCTCAGGTCCGGTTTGTCCACAGTCAGAACAGGAAGCTGGACCAGAGGGGCAATTGACTCTTCTTACATTCTTATGAATTCTGCATCAGAGGCAATTTTGAGCACTAAGAAAAGCATTCCACATAAAAGTCGAAATTATTAGGAACAGAGGATGCTGTTTTGTATCACGTCAGCTCCATTTGGCCCAGTATTGTCCGCACTGACGGACAGCAGCTGCCCGCCATTTCAGGCAGGGGAGTCTTGCCCCCGCTCTACCTGGAGACACTCCATCACTGAGCCATGTCCCTTCCCCAGGTATAATTAATACTATCACCACCCAGAGCCGTGAGGCACCTGAGGCAGACCCCAAAACGGCTCCCACTTCCCTGCCAGAGAAGAAGGGGTGAGGAAAGATCTACTTCAGCAACAAGGGAGAAGAAAGATCGACATTGGGATCTGCTGCCTCGCTGGAATCTGCCGCCTGAGGCGGTCGTCTCGCCAAAGAGGTTTCCTTCCTGTCGCTGAGAAGGAAGCCATGAGAAAGTTTGCACTAGAGGTCCGACAGAAGCGATCCGATTGAAAATGTGTGTCTCCGTCCTGTTGTTTTGGTGGCTCCCAAATCCCACAATCACCTCAGTCTTGTCTCCAGGTCTCTGGCCTTCGGAAGGAGAGCCGGAGAGGTCCTGGGTTAGGTGTGTCCCCATGGGGCACCCGTAGTCGAACCCAGGACAGCAGGAGGCCGGGACAAGTGCAATATTAGCAGGAGAACGAACAACACTGCACTGTGCCCCATTCCTCCCGCCAACCTGGAAAGAGGGACACTTGCAGGCCTCTAGCGGAGCGAGTCACGGCCGCGTCACGGCCTGGGAGACAGAGAGAGGACCAGGCTGCCAGTCCTGCGAAAAGAGTGGATAAATTATTATCATGGGGGTCTCGAGCAATACCCACCTGCACCCTCTCAGAGAAAGCCCCTCCGAGCCCCGTCCAGGTCCCCCCCACAAGCTGGAGTCGCAACTGGCGCTCTGGAGCTGGGCATTTGGTTAAATAATCACCCGCCCTGGCCAAGACACTCGGACGTTGCTGTGGCGACCAGTGTCCCGGCAACGGCCAAGTGAATGCTGCGCTCTTGCCGGCAGCGAGGAGCCTTGTTCGGTTGGGGGGCGTCCCGCTCCACCCACGCCGCAGAGAGGAGCCTGCAAGGCCCCCACGCACAGAACGGAGAGAGCCGGGAAACGGGACTCCTGGGGAGGCATTCTACCTGCTTCCGCAAACTAAAAAGAGAAAATGAATTCTCCAAAATAATAATAAAAACACCATTGATCACCTCTGGATCCCAGACTTGAGAAAGTTTTCAAATTTTGGAGGGTCACCACCTGTTGTGAGGGTGAAGAGAGGACCCCACTCCCTTGGCCTTGAGAGGAAAAATGGAAATAAGGGAATCTTGCCCATCCTGCTGACGCCAAAAGACCCACCTGCTGCCTCTGTGGGCTAAGGGCAGAGGAGCGGTGCAGGTCGTAAAGATGTGGCAACCCTGAGAAGCCCCCTGTTGGCGAGGATGGGCATTGTGCCCGCAGAAGGAGGGTTTTTGCTCTTTCAGGTAGATCTACTTGCCTTTGAAACGTGTGGCCGGAGAGCTTGTTTGGGGCAACCTCCCCAGCCTGGAAAGTCCCCGGTGCAGGACAAGAGGGGTCCTGATACAGCTCAGTTCTTCCAGCGTGCTTGGCTGGGGCCCTGACCCCGTCGACTCTCTCGCAAAAAAGTTCTGTTCGGGAGAGGGCTCTCCACACACACCCCCCCACTCCGCCTCCAACCTCGGCTCTTTAGCTACACAATGGAGCGGGCAGGGATGGGAGCGCCCAGCAACAATGGGCATGCATAGACTCCAGCGGCCCATTCAAGCAGCAAAAAGTGTCCTCTTAAAAGGGCAATGTGCAAGGCAGACCAGGGGGATGGGGACACAGCACAGAGAGAGAGAGAGAGAGAGAGAGAGAGAGAGAGACCAGGAAACGGGTGGAAGCCCAACATCAGAATGCAAACACAGTCACTGCCAAGTTAAGGGTGCCTCTGGACATGTGCAAAGTTCTTTTTGCCTTTTGGAGTGGCTTCAGGCAACCTCTGTGGTAGGGATGGGGGAACTTTCTCTTTTTTCTTTTTAGACCAAGGGAACTTTGGAACTCCCTGCCTAATGAAACCAGGCAGGCCCCTTCTCTGTACAGTGGTACCTTGGGTTACATACACTTCAGGTTACATATGCTTCAGGTTACATACGCTTCAGGGTACATACGCTTCAGGTTACAGACTCCACTAACCCAGAAATAGTGCTTTAGGTTAAGAACTTTGCTTCAGGATAAGAACAGAAATCGTGCTCCGGTGGCGCAGCAGCAGCAGGAGGCCCCATTAGCTAAAGTGGTGCTTCAGGTTAAGAACAGTTTCAGGTTAAGAACGGACCTCCGGAACGAATTAAGTACTTAACCTGAGGTACCACTGTACTGTGCTTGACACCTGCTACAAACGTTTTTGTTTCGACAAGGCTACCCAAACGATGCGAGTTTTGATCTGTCTTTTGTCTGTGGGGTTTTAAAAAAAACTTTTCAAAAGTTTTAAATTATGGTCGTTCATTTTCCTTCGTGATAATTTTATTGTTTTATCTTTTTTCATAAATTGCTCTAAGGTTTTTTGTTTTGTTTATACAGTCAAGCGGTGTATAGATTCTATGAAATAAATAACAGGGATATACGTTCCCTCCCTTCCACACAAGCGGTAGGTGGGATCAAAGGCAAGAGCGGGCGCAGCGATGGATCTGTCTCTCACCTTTTGCAACAGAGGGCTATATTCCAGGCACACACAACAGACCGAGGCTGCTCCACCCACCGCCCTGTTCTCCACCATAGCTAGCAAGAGGGACAACCACAGCTCAGGGACCCACCTCAGCTCAGGGGGCGGAGCTGGGCCAGCAAGAGGCGTGGCCTCAGAGGGGCGTGGCCTGGTGAGAATCTCGAGGGCCAAACAGAGAGGCTTTGAGGGCCGCATTCAGCCACCAGACCTGAGGTTTCCCAGCCCTACCGATCCCAGTATCAAGGGTACATTTTGCCTTTCACTCTGTTACACCCCCTTTTACAGTCAAATGGCTTAGTTGTCAAACAAAATGGCTCCCAAATGCTGAAAACCCAGAAGGGTCCCAGTTTTCAAACGTTTTTCGGAAGCCGAACAGACTTTTGGAACAGATTAACTTCGAGAACCAAGGTATGACTGTATTTGTATTTATCACTGGTTAAATTTATAGGCCGCCTTTTCCACGCTCAAGGCATTCTGTTATTTCATTCATTCCCAGCCTTTCCTCTGATTAGCTCAATACAGGGCCACACTTCTTCCCCCCCCCCTATTTTATTGTTATTTACACTTTATACCGTATTTTATGCTGGTTTTTTTGTAGCATCAATTGTTTTAAATTTGTTGTTAGCCGCCCTGAGCCCGGTTTCCTGAACCGGGAAGGGCGGGGTATAAATAAAAAATTATTATTATTATTATTTCACCCTCACAACCACCCTGCGAGGTTGTGGAGGATGCCGAAAAGCATTCTGTTCTATTCACTTCCCGCCTTCCCTTCAAGGCAGCAAACTCGTTTTTTCTCTCTTCCCCATCTCCCATTCCATCCGCACAACAGCCCTGCGAGGTTGTTCACCCAGTAATTGGCTACTGTGGTCATAGAGTGAGCTTCACAGGCAGGCATGGATTTGAACTCTGGTATATCCCAGAGGCTAGCCTGACACCCTTGCGGGGGATTAGATTCTGAAAAGTTCACGAGGCGGATGTAATCCCAGGAATTCCTAGTGATGTGCCGGCCCTGCACTCTGGCAGAACGTACAGTGGAGACCAGTCCATTTGGGCACAAACTTGTAATGACTGGGTTCTGCCATTATTGGCTCTGGCTGCCACCTCTCTGAGAGTATCCCCTGTGTTGCAAAAGAGAAAACTCTGAACAACCGCAAGTAACACGCGGCATGTATTAACAATAAATTGATAACGTTATCTCATTTCACAATTCATAAGCAGCAAGCATGTAAAATGTGCATGAAGTCACAATTAATAGGAGTCAAATAAATGTTCCATGAACAGAAATATTAGGCGTAGTCAGTAAGTATAAAGAATCCTACCTGCCCGCAGACTGACTCGCCAGAGTGGTGCATGCTCTAGTTATCTCCCGCTTGGACTACTGCAAAATGCGCTCTATGTGGGGCTACCTTTGAAGGTGACCCGGAAACTACAACTAATCCAGAATGCGGCAGCTAGACTGGTGACTGGGAGTGGCTGCCGAGACCACATAACACTGGTCCTGAAAGACCTACGTTGGCTCCCAGTACGTTTCCGAGCACAATTCAAAGTGTTGGTGCTGACCTTTCAAGCCCTAAATGGCCTCGGTCCTTTATACCTGAAGGAGCGTCTCCATACCCATCGTTCTGCCCGGACACTGAGGTCCAGCTCCAAGGGCCTTCTGGCGGTTCCCTCACTGCAAGAAGCCAAGTTACAGGGAACCAGGCAGAGGGCCTTCTCAGTAGTGGCACCCGCCCTGTGGAACGCCCTCCTACCAGATGTCAAAGAGGAAAAACAACTACCAGACTTTTAGAAGACTTCTGAAGGCAGCCCTGTTTAGGGAAGCTTTTAATGTTTAATAGACTATTGTATTTTAATATTCTGTTGGAAGCCGCCCAGAGTGGCTGGGGAAACCTAGCCAGATGGGCGGGGCATTAATAATAATAATAATAATAATAATAATAATAATTTATTATTAAGGCAAAAACCCTATCACTGCATATTTGCAGGATATTGACTGTTGAAAGGCTTTTCGCCTCCATCTCAGTGTTCTTTGATCGTTACTGACTACTTTTCAACATAACCAGCTCTGCCATTAGAGAGATTGAGGCGGCAGAAGCCCCTGGGCGGCAGCAGAAGCAGCAGCAGGATGGTGTCGGAAACCGCTCCGGAACTTGCGGAGCGAAATGGGTGCCAATGCAGCAGGGGAGGCAGAGGACTCTGTTGGTTGTGGACTCTGCTTCCTTGGAGGTTTTTAAACAGAGAGGTTGGGTGGCCGTCTGTCATGGATGCTTCAGTTGAGATTCCTGCATTGCAGGGGGTTGGACTAAATGACCGTCGGGGTCCCTTCTGACTGCAGTTCAGTGATTCTACGAAGCAGTGGCAGTGGCAACAGGCAGAGCGGCAGCACATCTGCTTTTCAAGATGATTCCATTTAGTGTCTGTCAGGAGTGCGTGCAGGAGCCGGGCCCTGTGACCAGTAGGGCTTCTCAGGACCGGGGCCTTCCTAAGTTTGATTTTTATCCACCCTGGCCAAGGTCCTGGAGAGTATGGCACAATGGGCAGCCTTCGCAGTGAGTTGGTGGGTGCTGCAATTCGACATGTTAACACACTTATTTCTCTCCCAAAACACACACACCCAAAGATGGAAAGGGGCTAAATGCAATCCTCTCTGTCTGGCGCTGAGAATTCTCCCATGAGTGGGCAAGAAAAATTGATGGACTATGCAGAACTGGCAAAACTGACATATAAGCTACGGGACAAGGATAACTGTGACTTTAAAGATGAACGGGAACCCTTTGCAAAGTATTTGAAGACGCAACAAAGCGAACTGGACTCCTTGGCTGGCTTTGAATAAACATTCACAAACTTTTTATTGATAATAATCAGCTAAATAGTTTGAGGATCTATACAACTGTGTAACATGCAGAAAACAGCACTTTTAGAGAAATCAAAGACTGGAACTGAGGGAAGTTGGGGGGTGGGGGGTTCTGTGGGGGGAGGGAGGAAAAATGGGGGGGAATAAGGATGATATGTTTCTGGATAATAT